AATTCAAATTCATTTAGGTTACACAATGTACACTAATGAACGTCAATAAAGAAATACATAATATCAAATGCTTCTAATTTTACATTTACTGCCAGTTCTCAAATCAAGCGCGTAGAACGGACGAGTAGAACTGGCAATAAATTTTCCGCAACTTGTTTTAATCGCCATTCGTTGCTTTTTTCCATTTTTGTTTTACAAAATGTTTGTAAGGAGCTGTAACCATTACTCCATGTTCCACATGACATCTTTAAAAGATTTATCCTCTATCAGCAGTAGGCATGGTGAAATAGAAGCACGCACTTACATGCTCGGGGGAACAAAACGGAAATACATAGTCGAAATAACTAAAATCACCGCATACACGAATTCAAGTCCGACCAGACACCATAAGTTCACACCATAAGGTCACCGTTCACGAGTTTGACGCATAGCCAGCCATCGGCCCCCTCGCTATATTTTAGGGAGAGAGACAACCTGACCGAGCTGTAACCTCTAAGTCTTGTGATCTTTTTATTCTTTATTGGCAAGTAGGTGATCAGTCAGATCAGATTAGACCTTCTGGGCCTGGGCCTTGATTTACAGCTTATTATGTAAAAAATATTACGTGATAAAACCACTGAAAGTCAAAAGGCAACTTATGTTTTGTTCTAATAGTTTAAGCATCTGATTCTCAAGCAAGCAAGCACGAGGGAAGTGGATCTAAAAATCTAGTTATACTAGTGATCATTTTCAAAAGGTCATACGGATTCAATGTATAATATACTTACTTAATAATTTCTTATTTATGATTATTGGTGACTTAAAATCTTCCAATAATACCTGATAATTATTTGACATAAATCTATCAACGCATTTCAAATCATTAGACACTCGTTGGACATCTTCCAAAATTGTTTTGAATATTATTCAATTGGAATATTGATATCAAATTCTCTTTGCACACATATTGTAAGCATTATAGTTGTACTTTACCCAAATATAGTACTTCACCAATAGGTGAATACTTACAATAGTAAGGTAACGACAGTGATATTAACTGTCAGTCGTTAGTAAGTTAGACACATCATTTTTTTTAACACTAGCTTGACGTTTGGAGTGTCTTATAAGTACTCTTAATAGTTCTCGCGTATGCTTTGGTATATGTATTAAATTTAAGATTACTACAGACTCAAAAATTACTTCTTCAGAACCAAAGTATTCATAACCATACGATACGGTACGGCACGAATAATAAATAAATTCAAAATAACCTATATTCGAGTACTATATAAGGATTATTGTATATGTTATTAGTGATGAAGTGAAGAAGGCTTCGCCCAAATTCTTCCACTTGTCTCTTATCTTCGCTACTATTATTCCACAGTATCTCATTTCAAAATCAACCTCAAACTTAAAATAATTTTATTCATATAGGTAACCAAGTAAACTTACAAACGTCAACAGAAAATATATAAAATTGATTCTAAATTTACATTTACTACCAGTTCGCAACTCAAATGCGTAGAGCGGGCAAGAAGAACTGGCAAGAAACTCTCCGCCACTCTTTTTAATTGCCATGTTTTGAGTCAGACAAATTGTTTGAACTGGAGCAAATCAATCCCAAGGATGAGGATCATTTAAATAATCGTCAAATTTATAAAAATATTTATTGATTAATTTACGTTTAACGAGAGTTTTAAATTTATTCAGTGATAATTCTATAATTTCACTTGGGAATTTTTTGTAAAAACGGATACAATTTCCATATAAGGTGTGTTTCATCTTTACAGGTTACAGGTTTTGGTAGGCCACCTTTTCTCTTACCACTGGTCCATTACATGATTAATAAATATGGTGTTAAAATAGCATTACATTGTTGTAAGACAGTAAAGGACATACCGTATAATAATTAAAGCGGTTAGAACCGCTTCTATCCCGCAGGAACTGAACCAGCTAATTGTTACTAATTTTATATCCACTTGCCAGATCGGTGTAACAAAGTCATAGTCCAATAGCTGGTAATCTGCATTATTGTATACTATACGACAATCCAGATCTAATCGTTGGTTCACTTAAAACCTCATCTGAGTTACGTAAACTAACATTAATTAAGTTACATTTATATTGAAGTTAATAATTAGAAGGCAACCCCGCTTCCCCTAATGTTATCTTAGTAATAAGCTCAATTCAAGCCAGTTTTTATCCAGCTTCAAGCGTTTTATTTGAACTTATCAATACAAGAACCGCCACCGAACTTCCTGGCATACCTTATTTATTATAGAAAAATGTTGTAAATTTCGAACGTTTGGTTGCATGCGTTTGCTCATTTCTTAAAGTAGCTACCTGTAATTTTGTTAAATCTTCATGCAGTTAAGCTGACTAAAGTCGGATTATATATGTGATTGTAATTGGGAATAATATAGTATATCAGAAATTATTCCTATAGATACAAGTGTCGGCTACGTTTTACAAAATCTGACATTGTTATAATTAAACAACAGAATCATTTTGAACAGCAATATAGTGTCAATGGTTTTTAAAAAGGCGTCGTACTAAAGAAATATTTTAATACAGTAGTTACAATATATAAGTATTGATAAACAGAAAATTAAAGCAAATTTAAAATGTTTGGTTCCTGTGTCATATTGCGATACTTATTCGTTGTGCGAGTAAAGCACCAGCTCTGGGGTCACTAGTACTATCTACCAGACGCCAACTAAAATCTTTAATTAGCGCTTGTGCACTTGAACCTCACGGCCCAAGAGTCTCTACTCCAAAGTTAACAAATTCAAAGTTTTAAAAATGTCTTTAATAAAAATATAAATTGTATCCTAGACTACTTAATAGCAACTTACATTGATGACAAAACGCGATAACTTTTAATTTCGATTCCATTTAGATTATGGAGATATTTCTAAATAATCTTTATCGATTAAGCTGAATAAGGTAGTATGGTGCGTACACAATAGATAATATTGTTGATATTACAGGAGAGAATGAACTAAACGATGGCGCGTTTCGTTTAGTTGTGATTGGTCAAACGGAAATACAGCTCGTGTCTATGACCAATCAGACACGAGATCTCTAGCACAAACCAAAGATGTTTTTGAGCAAACACAATCACTCGGACATAATAAGTGCAGGTACAGACAGCCAGTACTATGATCCTGGCTCTGCCCTTGGATACAGATATAGACAGACTTTTTTTTAAAGACATGAATTGGTAAAATAATCTAAAAGTAAATTTGATTCAAATTTTCTTAAAAAAAACTCATGTAGCAATGTTTTAGCAGAATTAAAAAAACTCGAATTTAGAAATTCGACGTGTATTTTTTGTTCAAGCATAATTACTTTCAACATAATCGTCATTTAATTTTCTACTGACAATAGTAGGCATAGTAACACATTGTTATGTTATAAATACATTTAATAACGGGCAGAGGCGTGTGGTCTGTCGCCACAGACGTAAACAAATAAATTAGCGCTAAACACGCCCTAAATTTATATTCTTGAATTTTACTCACAGATAATAAAACTACGAGATATTCATTATACATGAAAAGATTTCTTTGGCATAAATGTCACGATACTACGACGTTTTTAAGAAATTATATGTTGTGTTAACAAAATTAGTGTTTTAATTTTAAAAATATTGCACTGGAATTTATAAACATACTGTATCAAACAATAAAAATCGTATCTCGACTATTTGACCTATAGTTGCACTAAATACTGACCCTTGATTAAAACTCACATACCTACAGAAAACTTATGCTTTTTATAGCTACGAGTCACTGAACCCTTTACCCTATACATGCCCGCCATAACTTGTCCGAATCGCAAACATGGTCAAAATCGTTGTCCAGGGGCCTTAGGCAAAAAACAGTATGCGACTGGCGTGACCCACTAAACAAATTTGCATAAAAATGGTCACGTGATTAATCGTTAACGTAAGTTACTTTATATTACGACTGTGCATCGCAGTTCATGTGTGTTTATTCGGTAAAAGCGTGATTGCCTACAGCGTTTCTTGAATGGCCTAATCAACACAAAAATAATTTCAGCCCTGCGATTCTGTAACTCACTTTTCGAACTCACACAGCGGTTTTCGCATCGGCGGTCGCTCTCAAATCAGTCGTGAAGCAGTCATTTTATGATTTGGCATTCTGAAAAGGTGGGAGCTTGTAGTTTATTGTTTATCAGAATGCCAAATCATAAAATGACTGCTTCACGACTGATTTGAGAGCGACCGCCGATGCGAAAACCGCTGTGTGAGTTCGAAAAGTGAGTTACAGAATCGCAAGGCAGCTCTTCCTGAGAACGCCTTCAACGAGACAAACAAATATACTCATAATGCACTTATCACAATGGATTGAAAGCTAAATTCAAAAATGTTAAAGTAAAATACGTTGTAACCTCGTATATAATATGACCTCAGAAACGGTTATTTACTTTGTAATTCTGTTTCTCTTGCGAAAACTCTTGTTGGAATCTCTTGTTGGCGTTGTTGTAAATTATACCTTTGGTGCTTATCTTATGTTTCCTCCTGAGTTCCTCCAATCCAGGGCCTGATTTAGAGGTCTGGAGGCCTCGGGCAACAAAGGAGTAGAGGCCCCCTGTGCCCAAATTATTTTCTCTTTTATAAATACAGATCAAAGATTTCAGTTAATATTTTAGAACAATGTAATCATCTTTGTACAAAGGTAAAACAGCGAAAAAAAAATATCAAAAGAAAAGTTGTTTACTAGTGTTGTCGGAATTTAAAACATTTTTTTTTCGAACTTCTATTGTGGGGGGGCCACTTTTGTGGAGGCTCTGGGGCTGTGGCCTCGGTTGCCCTCCCTTAAAGCCGGCCCTGCTACAATCTACAACTCTCCTACTGCACAGTAAAAACGTCACACTTCAATTAAAAATGCTGTAATTTTTAATAAATTAATATTTCATATTAATGAAATTGTATTATTTGTATCTTAACAACATATTATTCAATTACGAGTAACAGCTCAAATCATACTTTCTATTCACGGGAGATCCGGAGGACAATATGCCCTGACTCTGGCAATCAGCTCGTCTCCAGGCTGTGCTTTGATAACCACAGTGAAGTGCCTGTACCCGACGCCACCTCTTAGTACAATTGGAGTATTCCCATTTGTCTCTATAGCTAAGTGTGATATCTGTAAAAGACTAAATTATTAGTGATCGGGCACGGAAGTTTTATTTCCTGCGAAACCATACATGTTTGATCAGTAGGCACAATATGCACCTGCCTGAAATGACCAGTGAAAGTCTGCGCAGACTGAAATATTTAGTATATTTGTCTTTATCTCTATCTATCTATTACAAATAACCTACAATTTTCTAAGTTATTTAAAAGTTGTTTTGTTCTAATAGCCTATTACTTATTGAAGCTGTGTATTGACGCAAAATATTATGTAACTTTTATTTAAATATTAGCTTTCAGCAGCAGTTTTTTTTTTGTTTGAAGCAGCAGTATGTTTTGCAATCTCTTCAACAATAATCAACTAATATAAGTTTATATAAAATTATAATAGACCTTAACCTTCCTTTGGAAGTACACTATCTATTAGTGCAATCTATTCATTATTTAGAGTTTATCACGTTAAGACAGACACACGGATGCGGGGGCATTCATGTTCATCTACCTAAGTGTTCATTATATCATGTGCAAGATTCTCACTTACAACACATTCAAAGATTCCTTCACAAGACATGTGATTTCCTGTTGATGTTGGGGCATATTTGAACTTCTTGCTATAAACTCGTTTATCCTGTTTCTTTCTATTACCCTGGTAGAGATTTCTGTATGGAGATCGAATATAATAACTTGTGGAAGATGGCAAGGGCTCAGGATATGGATAACCTTTGAACATTCTCCGGTAATTTAATCTATGAGAAATTATAAAATGTTAATTTTGATTGCGTAGTTAGTCACATTTCAATTGCTACCGTGTCACTCACGCATATTTATTCAAAGAGCAGCCAGGCTTCAGGAACAACTACTCGACTGTGGATCACATGAAGGTTGCTAGATAGATAGCCGAAAAGTGCAAGGCATTTGATTCACTGGACCACTCAACAATTTGGCAAGAATTGCGAAAGCAGGGTGTCGAGCACAAATACAGAAGGATAATTAAAAACATCTACACAGGCACTACAGCAAAAATCAAAATGGAAAAGGAATGCTGAGACGGTGATTCCTAGGATATCGGGTATGCCTACACACAAAAAGAAGTCCCGAAAAGACCGGCCAAGCGTTGCTGTGGCTAAGGTTTTTGTTATATTACATAGTAGTAAACTATTCAAGGGAAACGGTAGGAGAACACCGGTCATGGGGACCACCATGCTTTATTGGTGGTTATGCCATTAAATCGTAGCTTATGTGAAACGTTGGTACTTTCAACTCAGCGCCATCTGTTAGAATTGTGACCGTTAAATAATAAACAAATATTTTGCAATAAAATAATATTGCGGGTATAAATTGAGATGTAAGCTATCCTATCTTTTAAGTTAGATCAAACTGCACACGGTGTGCAAATTTGATTGATATCGGTTTGGTAGTTTAGGAGTCCATAGCGGACAAACAACGTGACACGTAATTTATATATATTAAGATTAAAGTACCTTTTACCGTTTTGTATATGGTCAAACAGTTTTATATAAAATATTGTTTCATTATCAAACTTCCGACATCAACAAAACTCTACCATATAGCCGCAGAGAATTACTGGAACTAAGAAACTCACATTACTGGTCTACCTAATCCATAATTATGTTTTTGTTCATATTTAAAACTCTCTTCGGTACTAACAGCTACAGCAAATAGTACGCATGTAACCACTTTCATAATGTTCTATAACTAAACATTTTTCAGAGAAAAATCGAGAATTTTATCCACACATCAACTCGTACAAACCGCAATTGTATTGTAAAATTTAACGCAAGGTTTTTGTTAGTAATTGCGTTGTTACGAGTTGAATTTTTTACGACATTAGTTCTTTATCGATTATCGTAGACAAGCATATTTTTCATTTAATATATTTTTCATTTTATCTACTTTTAGCATTAGAATCCGTTCAACTGCCAGCAATCCTCGATGTGTCTATCTACCCACCAACACCCAAAATTCGATGGCCAGTGCACTGCACTGCAGTGTCAATCACGTTTATGAGGGATCAGTACTAATTATTAGGTGACCCGCAACGCATTCGCCAAACTTCTGGTACTCTAAGACCAAATATAACTTTATGTCACGTGAGCCTATTGCCTGTTTGCACTCTGTTGCCTGAACATTGGTATAAGTAGGTATAGGTATAGGTTTGTACTTATCTAGGTAGTACCTACTACACAGACAGACATTATTATTAATTAATGATGTGATAGCTATAAACTTATAGCTATAAAGCAAAATATTATCTATTCGCTACATAATAATATGTCTATTAATAAATTAAAGAGAACTACAAATACAAATTAAGACCATAAATTAATAATTAATTATTTAATTAATTATTAATTTATATTAAGTGTTTTTGGATCATGCTTTTCATCAATAAGTTGAGACAGACTGATATAACTAAAATTTCGATACAACAGTAAATAATCTAACATTACGCAAAATTTATAATGGTATGTAAAATCCCTTTACGGTTTTACGTTATTATGTTCACTACTATGTAGGGATGTGAAAAAATAATCGATTATTAAAAAAATCGATTTTTTAAAAAGTAAAAATCGATTTTATTACGCGATTTTTATATTTAAAATAATCGATTAATAATCGATTATTTTAATAATTGAAAATCAATCATAGTCGATTTTTTATCTGCCACCTCCCGACATTATGTCTGGTCTTTTATAACCCGGACCTCGAACTATTAGGGATATTCGATATACAACGATGTTTACAATGCGATACATTGAATCCGATTCCTTGAAGATGTATTGATATACTCGATGCATTGATGTTTTTTTGTAAAACATCGAAAGGATGATAAAACCAGTAGTCCGGTCAATTTAGACATCCAAGGTTACAGTAATTCGCACTTGGCTGAATATTGGTAGGATTGCTCAATACACTATTATAAAGGAAATGTGAAAAGTCCTCATCGATCCGGCACGTGCAAAAAAATTTACTCGGGATCAAAGGTCACAAAAACGGGTTTTTCGCGATTTTCAGCAAAATGGTAAGTTTTATCATGAAACTAGTTTAGACAAAAATTGTAGATCAGATAATTATCTATAAAAAATGTCCAAATACTTTTTTCCTAAGAGCCACCGTTTTTTGAGATATAACGATTCAAAAAGTTGAAAGAGTTGTAATCGTCATAAAATGCACACGTTTCCACGCCACCTTTGAGGTAGTGTACTTAGCGCTTTTTTTTTAATGTGGTTTCCCCGGTAGGCCTATTCCACTGATCTTTTATGATTTTGTTTAATTTGAAACTATTGAATAACTGTAGATATTGACAAGGGTTGAAAATGATGAAAGGGGTGTAAATTACAAAAAATAAGAAAATTTATCCGTCTGAATCTAAATCATCATTAACTTCTGCTTTCTCTTGTTCTTTTTCTCCTCCTTCTTCTTCTTCTTCTTTATCTTCTTCATTCTGGGTGTTAATAAGTTGTCCCAATAATGACACATCGCATGTCTCTTCGTCAACATCAAATGAATCTTCAATTGTTGGCAATTCAACATTGGAGCATGACCGGCCTTGACAGTTAGTACATGCTACAGAACAAAACAGTCCCACTTTTTTTGCAACCACATTTAGCACTACATCCCTTTTTACAGTTGCAAAAAATGGTGTTTAGTAGTTTTTCTGGTGCAGGTGGAAGTAAAGTCTGAACTGGCTCTAATGAATTGTCGACCAACTTCCAACCCCAGTCTTTTCCAACAGCACGAAATAGGTTAGAAAAAATAGGTTACAATAAACACGTGTTTTCACTCCAAAGCGATGTTGCTGAAGGTTACACTGGCGTAGAAAATAAAGGACTGGGTTTTTTTTTACCCGAAATTTTCATATTTTATATGTGTAAGTCACACTGACCGATAGAACGATATTTTTGCTTGTATTACGGCTTCAGTGATGTATATACGTGGTGTACTTATACATATTATGACGATTACAACTCTTTCAACTTTTTGAATGTTGATATCTCAAAAACGGTGGCTCTTAGGAAAAAAAGTATTCAGACATTTTTTATAGATAATTATCTGATCTACAATTTTTGTCTACACTAATTTTATGATAAAACTTACCATTTTGCTGAAAATCGCGAAAAACCCATTTTTGTAATCTTTGACCCGGAGTAAATTTTTTTGCACGTGCCGGATCGATGAGGACTTTTCACATTTCCTTTATAATAGTGTATTGAGCAATCCTACCAATATTCAGCCAAGTGCGAATTACTGTAACCTTACCCCTATTTTTTAGTCTAATTTGACCGGATTACAGTGAATTTTACAAAAACTCAAAGTTTGAATGGAACATTATAGTTTAAAAGTAAAATAAATTTATTCAGCAGCACAAGATTGTCTTTTTAATTGTATGTAACAATTAAAAAGACAACAAAAATACTGCAATGTGCTTCTGAAAAGGCATACTCAGCATTTATCAAATTTCACCTAAAATCTATCAAAACGAGATTAAGTTAATTTCGATTTTGATTATTCTTAAACGATAATTTGTGTTTATAATTTTTATTGTTTATTTATAATTAAAAAAAACATGAAAAATAAAATATTCAGGGTGATTATTTTGAAATTAATTCAAAAATTAGGAAAAAATCGATTAATAAAAAATAGATTATTTGTTAATCGATTTTTCATGCTAAAAAAATAATCGATTAATAAAAAAATCGTTTTTTTATGCAGAATGTCACATCCCTACTACTATGTATTCATAGTGAAGGATTTTTCTATAAATAAAAAAAAATATGGGGTCTACAGGGTATAAATGTTATATGATGTCAATGTCCATAATCAGGTTGGCAATACTCTGTCAAACTGACTTTTGGTATTGAAATTTGACATTTTACTAAATATATTGATAATCCCGCTATTTACATACGAATTACAATCGATAAAAAAAATAGTAATAAATTTTTAATTTTTATCTGAAAAAGTCAATAATACTACATAGTCAAAGTAAAACATTTTTTTATAAACTTAAATGCAGTCCAAAAATGTGTAATGATGTGAAAGAGAAATATTAATAACGCAACATTACCGATACTATAAGTACTTTAAATAAACATTAAAACTTATTCGACTTGCAAATTCGTCAATAAACACACACGATGGATGGTAATTACCGCAAAAATTAAAATTAATTATTATTAAAAATATTTAAATGAGAAGTTTTCTACTTAATGGTTTTTATTTTCCAGGCCCATCCACTAAAAAATCTACCTCATTTGAGACTCTTATTATTCAGAACAAAAACAATCTTGACGATCTCACAGCAAAATTAAAAGACATAATTGCAGCTGGCAAAAACTATGAATATGATGTCTCATCTTGTATTAAGTCTTTATTGATAAGTAAAGATGAATCTATTGTATTATTATCTATTCAGGCTGTTTCTGAGCTAGCAAAATGTGAACAGAAACGTGAAACTTACGCACAAATAGAAATCATTGAACCTATACTAAATATTTTATCCAAAGAACTTTGTATGGATAAGTTTGATCTTGTAAAACAAAGTCTTAGAGCATTGGGAAATCTCTGCTGTGATTGTGATACTTCAAGAAACATTGTTCTTGAAAATAATGGTGTACTAATATTGAATACTTTGCTTGGGAATACTATTGTAAATATTGCATTTGATGAATTAAAAATACTCATATGTAAGGCGTTAATGAATTTTGCAATTGGAGGAAAAGAATTTTCTAATTATCTAGAAAAGTTTACTATAGAGCATGTCAAAAAGATATTATTATCAGAATTGATTAAAGAAGATATGAATGATGATTTGATTTCAACTGTATTGTTGATACTTAGCGTTATAAATGATAATGAACCTGAATTCTTATTTGCTGATGAAGTTAATTTAACAGTTTTAAATGTTCTAAAAGAAACAACTAATGTGGATATATCTGAGCTGGCACTCGAACACTTGCATTCACAAGTTCGTGAACATGGTAATTTATTTTTATATCTTAAAACAATTGAAACACAGATACTACACTAGAATATTATTAGCTTAAGCCTAACTTATTATTCCCGAAATCTAACATTTACTTCATTATATTTATAAAGATCACAATCCACAGATATTTTTTTAAATATCCCCAGATTCAGTGAAAACTCTCCTGGCTAGAGAAGGAGGTGTGCAACTAGTTTGTTCTCGGCTTGAGCAGTTAATTCAAAGACATGAAGTTGGAGACCTCAATGCTGATGGTAGTCAAGTAGAGGTTATTGTGAAACAAGCCTGTTATCTCATTATACTTATTTTGACTGGAGGTAAGTTTTTTTAATCCAATTCAGTACATATATATTTCTATCATAATTATTAAATATACAAATATCTCCAATGCGCCTTGTTTATTATGATAAATTATGATGAATTATTATACCCTATAAAACTAACATTTTGAATTAAATGACAAAAGTAAGCAGTAGTAATAAACTACAAATAAAACTAGGAAGTAAGGAAATAAATAAAAAAAAGATTGTAATTTGTATTGCAGCATGTGTGTATCAGAACGGTTTTTGACATATCAATCTATCAGTAAAATAAGATTTTATTTCTATTCAAGCATATCTATAGTTTTACAGACTAACTCATTGTTCAAACTTTATTAAATTAAACTGTAACTTGAACATTACCTATGTACTTGACTAATTTACCAATTACAATTTGCAGATGAAGCGATGCCAATTCTCTACAAAGATGGTGTAGGTGAAGTGTATTTGACTATGGTCAAGTGGCTAGACTCTCCAAACCACCATTTGCTGGGAACAGCTTTACTCGCTATTGGAAACTTTGCCAGACAGGATGAATACTGCATTCAGATGATGACTGATAAAATTTTCGATAAACTTTTAGGTATGTCAAATTTGTAATACGCTTGATGCTTACCAAAAAATATTAGAAAAATAGAAGACTGTATAAAAATGCCTGAGGTATTTCCGTGATACTCTTCCTGAGCGCCTATTAAATATATGTTCTATTTTTCTGGTGGGATGTGTTAACTGTACCCGATGGTCATATCTCAATTGGTGGGTCTATTTAAATTAATTGTATGTTGTCTAAGACGTGTCACAGATCTGAGTCTCTGAGTTGGTCTTTGGTAGAGTGCCGAGAGTGAATCCTGAGGGCACACTGCAGACAAGGACTATTTTTTCCATGTTTCACTGTCTGCTTATAAAATGTTATATAGTCTACAGTTATTAAACACATTATATGTTATGATACCTATATATATTATTATATTATATAGATCCAAGTATCATTTTCATTTTAAGTGTCATGTAAATTGTGTGTTTAAATGAATGCTAAGCAACCTGGCCATTTCAAAGCCTGCCTTAATTTCACAAAAAACTCCACAAGTATGCACTCCAATAGGCCGCTACTCACTAAATAACAAATAAGAAAATTGTTTTATTGCAAAATCTTGTAGGCCTAAACCGGTATATGCATAACACACAGCAACAAATACTACATATTAACATGTTAGTCATTTCACATCGGCAACAAATTTTATAACATATTGTGCTCTTCATAAGTTCCGGGTGTTTGGCATTTGATTTGAAGTAGGGCAATAATGTTTAAATAAGATTTTTTTGTTTTTCTCTTTTAATCTAAAAACACATTTTTGTTATATATGATAATGTAGTTTTGTAACACATGGAAATGTTCCTAACCTTGGAATTTCATATTTTTTACGATTTGTCATCTTAGATTTCTATTTTCTTAATTTCTGTGTCCTCAGTATGCTTGTGTGCTTTAATAAATATGTATAAATATATTTATTACAGATATATTCGAAGTGTACCACATCCTTAGCACAAAGGAAAAAGACACAATTCCTATAGACAAATCTACTTTGAATCAAATCCAGCACGCTGCATTATCAGCCGTGAGGAACCTGAGCGTTCCAGTGGTCAATAAGAGACTGGCCTCTGCCCAAGGAAAGGCTGCTCCGCTGCTTTTGAAGGCTCTGCCCAGTGTCGAGGATCATCATGTGGCCTATAAACTCATGGCTGCTTTGAGGATGCTGGTAGACGGACAAGGTATTTTTATAAAGAGAAAAGAGAGAGAGAAATTGTGTATTGAAGGTAGCATCAGCCTTTTGTGCCTATCACTCTCAATTAGTTATTGCTTTAACAGGAATCAAACCTAGATTGTTTGGGATAAACGATAAAAGCATTTCCAACGAATTATTTCGAGTTATAATAGTTTAAAAAAAATTTAATGTAACGGGGCAGGAGGCTCATCTGATGTTAAGTGATGAGCGGCCCATGGATAATTACATTGCCAAAAGACTCGCAAGTGCGTTGCCGGCCTTTTATGTAAAATAAATTAAATGTATGTTTAATAAGAACTCTCTGGTGGGCATGAACCGTAATAGTTTAGAATTGTATTTACAGTTTTTAAATTAGTTTGAGTAGGTAATATTAAATAATAGAGGATTTTATTTTTACTGTATATTAACCACTGGGGTCCAACAATTAAATATATGCGAAATAATGAAATGTTAATTGCTATAAAACTAATGAATGCAATGTAACAGTTGAAGAGAACGCCTTCCTCTGGCTGTACTCTCGGGGCGTAACACCAGTCTACGCTTATAAACTAAGAAAGCCCGAGGGAGCAAAATGTACAGCCTTGGCTCGTACAAATGGGATACCTTAATATGACGTCTTTCAGAAAGCGTGGCCCGTCTAACAATAAGCGACCGCGCGGCCCTAGAGGCGATAGCTCGATGGGGCGGGGCGGGACAACACGCGGGCGCAGCGGGCGAAGCGCCGAGGCTTCTGGCGTGGAGCGTCAGGCACGTCAACGCGAGGGCTGGACTCATACAGGTGAACTCTCACGGCCATTCAGATTATACAGGAGTTATTTTTCCAACTAAATCACTCGCCCGTCTTTCGTCTCTCTTCATCACAGCGTAAACGCAATTTGACAGAAAGAGACAAAACACTGCAATTAAATTGATTTGTGTGAATAAAGCGGCCGGTACACAAGTGTGGTTTTTAAATTTCGGCTATTTCCAAATTCAAGGATTATTTTTTTTTTTCGGAATAGATAGCTGCTTTTTGATTGATTTAGTTTTAAATTTTTGGCGATGATACGTTAAATTATTGATATTTACAGACGTCAATAAAAGAGGTTATCAGTTTGATCTGTATGGAATTGGTTTATAAATGTAACGTGATCTTTTTAGGTTTTCAAGCGCGTGTGCTAAAAACGCAAAAGTAATACTAAGATAAACAAAATTATATGTCTCAACTCAAGAACAGTTGAAGTTTTTATCGAAGTCAGTTTAGTAGTATTTAGGGTATCTACGCATTTGTGCGTGTCCTATGCATGATATTGGTACTTAGGTCAATAGACAGGTGAACGCGCTGGTATTTTAATAATTAAGATATAAAAAGTTTAGTTGGATGGCTACGATATATTCTCAAATAAAGTAATACTATTTTTAAATATAAGGAATATAAAAACTCACCATGGGTATTAAATCGACTGCAAATAACAAATGGCTATATGCATTATCATTAGTTTTCAATCAATTCAAACCTTCATAGTTAAAAATGCCGTAATAATTAACTATTTAGAATTTTAACAATACAGTCACTTATTACAACACTGCAGTAGAAAAATTGATATTTTCGAATAACAGTTGGATGTCTGAAAAACAGTTTAATATTACATTTATTATTGATAACTCATAAGTGCCAAAACAGAGCAAGCTAATTAACTATAAAGCTGTAGTTAATATAAAATAAATCAATGGCGCTACAACCGTTTTAGGTCATTTGTTAATCTAATAGACAAGTAGGTTATCAGCCTTCTGTGCCTGACGCACGCCGTCGACTTTTTGGGTCTAAGGTAAGCCGGTTTCCTCTCTATGTTTTCCTTCACCGTTCAAGCGAATGTTAAATGCGCACATCAAAATTAGTAGCCCTTTGGTGCACAGCCGGGGATGAGAGTCGCACGCTGAACCCACTAGGCCAATACTGCTCTAATAATAATGTAGTTAATATATCGGTTTGAATTCCAGGCAAAAGGCTGCCTCCAAAACATCGTGGACATGTTAATAGCTCCGCACTCGGTGATGCAAAACGAAGCCATCCTCGCTCTCACACTACTGGCCATAGAAATCCTCAACGAGGACCCTCGAGAAGCTTTCGTGGACCAGCTCTTGGCTGCAGAAATCGGTAAGCATATATCCGTGTTGATGGAGACGAATTGCGCGAAGATACCGGTGGAGGTCGCCGAGAACTTACTGGCGTTCCTCGATGTCACCTCGAAGAGTCCGAAAATTTTGACCGACTACAGACTGACTAAGGTGAATAATGCGTTGGAGAAACTTGTGGAAGCGAGGAATGATTTTAGTGGAGAGTTGAAACTGTGTGCGAACGAAATTGTTAGGAAAATTGCTGAAAGAGAAGATTAATTTTTTTTTATTCTCAAATCAATTTCGTCTTGAAATATTAACAAAACTTACGCTGGCCATAGACGGATCGCATGTTGCAGCTAAGACCGCTCTAGCGCGGTCGCCGCACGGCGATCTGCAGTTTCGATACTAAATTTTCGTTCGTGAGCAGTCGGAGCAGTCGCTGTGCGGTAGACTACTTAGAGCTGCCGGACCCACCATACACGGACCGCTACAAGCGGTTGCCGTCGACCGCGCGCCATCCCCTTCCTCTCTTGTTCTTATAATTATGACATCATGATAATTGATATTACATTTGCACGCCTATTTTATATGGCTGATTGTGCGGTCTTTTTTATATGATTAATCAAACTAAATGTACCACTTTCTTTGCAAATAAAAACTTATTATTATTATTATTATTGGACGCACCCACACTACGGTGTCTTCTACGCCTACACTTGCGTAATAGTAATACAAGAAGCAGTGTTTCTTCATCGAAATCCATCTTGTAAATGAACTCGCATCAGTAGTATTTGCGGTCGTGTTGCAGTCGTGTACGACTTCAACGCGACCGCTCTACAGCAGTCGGCCTCGGCTGCAACATGCGCTCCGTCTATGGCCAGCGTTACAAAATTAAATTCCCAATTATGAACATTAATTAGTTTATATATATTTATTTATATTTTTATTTTATCCAAAAAATTGGATATTACAAACTACTAATTAAGTTATTTACAATCTTAACCTACATAGTAATTAATATTTCTCTATTTATTTAAGCTTTTTTAACACGTGCAAATTTTTTTTAATCGACGGCGTGTCAGGCACAGTAGGCTGATTACCAGCCTATTAGATTGACAAATGATCATGGAAATACAGAAATCTGAGGCCCAGACTTAAAAAGGTTATAGCGCCACTGATATATTTAATATTCCAGCTTAACTTTCATATAAATCCGTTCAGTACTTTTCGGCATATATATTTTTTTTATCAATAATTTACTATACTTCTATTAGCTTCTTTAGCTTAAAAATTACGGCTGTAAATCTCGGATATTAACTTCTTGAACCCAGCATAGTATGAACACATAGTTTTAAAAGTTACGCACAATATAGCTTGTATGCCAAAACTTGTGAGTACTAATAATGGAATTGACGTGTTATATTTATAAGGTTAAACTAGACTTTCATTATTTAATCTAAAATCGCCTATTTTGTAATACCGTAGATGTAAGTTAAATGTAGACAATTCAGCTGGAATTTTTACCACCTGGAGCAGGGGTGGATCTACTTAAGGGCTTTTTGGGCTGCGGCCCAAGGCCCAGTGGATACAAAGGGCCCCGTCCCCACTGAAAACAATATAATAATAATAAGCCTTTTATTCAGATCGACTTAGGTACACACAAACATAGATCATTATATTAAACTAGGCATCAATCTTGCTTGATTTCTGTAGATCTGTTTGCCAGTCGGCAAAGGCCTCCTCCAACCATTTCCATTCGTGTCTTTCTTGGGTAATTGGGTAAAACAATATACGATATTTAATATTTTAAAAATGCAATCATAAGTATGGTATCCCTGAGATCAATCAACCCATGTGCTATGTGCGTCTCTCAAACGGAATGAGGAATTCCCCGTCGCTTATTTTCGGTCGGTGTATTTTTTCGCGTGTGCGTCTATTAGGACTTCCCCGTATTAGCCCAGTGCCCCACAAATTGACGAGCCGCCCATGACGTGGAGGATCTCTTAATAATGGAAATAGTAATTTAAAAAATTAATTTACATTTATAAAAACAACTTTATCGTTAGTATGTGAAAACGGGAGTGACTTTGGGGAACTTATTAATTTCCATTCACTTTTTTGACACATTACATGGACATCTTTCTATCGTTACTCGCACGTAACTACCAAAACTGGCCTTGCATGTTTCGCACGTGTGCGTGCACGCAGGTAACCGGGGAGTGGTACGTGGTATCGCTACACTTCTTTTCTCACGCTTCTTCAGTCGCGCTCTTAATCTAAAGGCCATGTTAGTGGCGCCGCACAACTTCCTCTACTCTCCCCTGTCTTAGGCAAGTCTGGGGTCTTCCTCCACAGTTTTATCAAATAACAATCTTTATATCAATTTGTCTGCGCACTTAGTATGTAGCTATTCCATTATAATCGCAGGCTGTGTCCGCTTCTGTTAATTTATATCCTTCGTATTGTTAGGCTACCTCCTCATTCCTCGGATCTATCGAAAGTTTTCATTTCCTTCAGAACTTTTATTGCATAGAGAGGAGCTGCTTTTGTGAAATTCTTTTTCTCTGCATAGCAGATTCTATAATGAGAGCTAATGCTACATATTGCGCGTGCGAGTTCCTTGGAGGCTTTGCCAAACTTTTAATGGCTTCACAAATAACATTTATTGTTCAATCGTAAGCCGTATGGTGTTTAAGTTTCCTGGTTATTACCATGGCTTTTTTCCAATACAAAATATGATATTTAGTCTATCTATTGGCAAACAGTTGTTCATTTACAGCTTGTCCATCGACAAAAGCCTCCTCTAAAAATATCTACTCTTGGCGTCCCTACATCGTCCTCATATGGTTTGCCTGTCTCTATCGATTCCCATTTCAGAATCGTAACGAAATGTACATGAAATGAACGACGATTCTGTTCCATTTTCGCTTCTTCTCTCGCGTCATATATCCTATCTATCTCCACTTAGTTGTCTGTATGTCGTGTATGCGTCTTTAAATTTGGTTTTTATTTTAATATCGCTTAATTTTACCTTTACTTCTTGCAATACTGTTGATTGTATTACTATAATATTAAAATATTATGCTATAGAACATTAACTAAAACTCTATAAACTGTATTATTGAGATCTAGCAGTTCTAACGTCGTCATTGTAGACCAGTGATTAATAGTAGGTATACCTCTTCACTGGGCCCTTAGTCCATCGTAACGATGACTTTATGGGGCATCCACACGCTGGCTGTTTGTCACAAACACCGCAAAAAGCAAACGAAGTCCCAAACACCAACCACAATCCCACAAGCCCATCCACACGCTTGACAAACAATGGCAAACAGCTAACAGCAAACAGCAAACACGGACGTGAGGATGGGTGTTTGTCGTTGTTTGCCTGTTTGTGTTCGTGTTGGGCAGTGTTCGGCATCGGTGTCGGTTTATCTTGCCAGATCAAAGGATGTTTGGCAAACAGTTTGCTACGTATCCACACGTTTGGCAGCGATCAGTATGCGCGCGAGCTTGCGGGAGGCGGACGTATTTACTTGCTACACTTTCGTTGGCGCGCAAAGCGTAAAAAATGTCTGATTGGAGCACCTACGATTCTGACATTTTTAAGTAACTTTTAAGTAAAATTAAAAAAACACGGCAAAGTAAAGCTCAAATAATAGGTCTAAAGCCTTGTACGCTTTCTATGTATTTTAATCATCCACCATCGTCTTTGCTTTCTTCTTTTTTCCTTTTTTCTTTCTCTTGCTTTAATTTATAATAAAAATATGTCAACCCGAAAGTAATAGCTGCAACAAGCTCGTCGTCCGCCATGTTTGCCGATTCGGAATGTTATGAACGTTCGCCAAGCATGTGGATGGCTGTTTGTGTTGGGTGATTGTGGTTGGTGTTTGGGACTTCGTTTGCTTTTTGCGGTGTTTGTGACAAACAGCCAGCGTGTGGATGCCCCATTAGAGTTTACATTATTTGGAAGCTATGACGTCCTCCAAGTTACCTATGAAATCTTATACGAGTTTAATTGTCGGTGAGCACATTTTATAGTGATCACTGAGATGTACCCTGTTGGTACTAAAAATTCCAGCTACTTTACTCTTGTGCTATGCGGACGAAGTTATCGATAATACTGCATTCAAATATTTGTAATATGCAGTGTTGCCAACTACCTAGGAGACCCTTTATCAACTTGTGTAGTTATTACCAAGGCAAATTATAAGGATATGCCTCAATATTAATCTATTTCCACATACATAATTGTATAACGCATTTAAAATGATATAGCAATACTTAATACTCCAAGTACAATGATTATTCATATAAAGAGAAAAAAATATTTTCTATTACTGTATGTAGACTTTTCAATATAACATAGCCTCTAGCTGTATTAGTGTATTTAAATGTAAATGAGTAAATCCAATGGCTGACAATTTTTTATGAATAAACTATTCTTAAATAATATTCACAAAAAAGGTTGGATTTAGGCCTAAAGTATATAAGTTCTGATATGTACACGATTTAGAACTAAGCTTGACTAAAAATTGTGGCCAAAATTAGTTTATCAGTTGTTAACAAATACTTAGTGACAGGCGCGTAATCTGTTGGAAAGACAATAGGTTTTTAGTCAAGATGCCTTAACAGTAGTATTACATACACTCGAAAGTCGAAAACTAAATTTGTATGAAAATTTGTCGACACGAACTGTAATATTGATACAAATTAAGTTTTCTACTTCTACATACATTACTATGCCTTTCATCTTGACTAAACCCGTTGGTTACGCCTGTCTTATAGTAATTTTGACGAAGGCCCACAACCACAACAGATAAAAATTGTGTGTGTACTTATGTACGCGCGTATGAAGTTATACTTCTTTGGCATAATTAAAAATAGTTTTTGATTGCTAGCAAATAATTAATTACAATTAAATAATCAAAGATTGGAAAAGGAGTCATTATAGTCAATAAAGTTCAGTTTACATTTGAAAAATTATTTAAATAAATATTTATTATTATTCTCTTACATTAAGTGTAACATAAATTCTATTATTATTCGAATGTTGTTTTTAAATTATGTCCAATGCCGTAGCATCTTCCGTGGGCAACTTCATTCTGTTAATTTTGTGTCACGGTGCGCGCGCATCGTAAAATTTCACTCTCATACATTGTACATACGTGCCTAAAGAAATATAACTTCAAAAATTTCACTTAAATAATTTCAATTAAATTTGTTGATCAGAGATTTTTAGTCTAGTTTAGCACCTACTTCATTTAGATATAGTATTTTAATGTAAATATTTATACATCCAATAGTGCACTTATATAGCTTAGCCATGATCACATAGCACAATTTTAAAATAGAGCTTTCTAAGCAAATCTTTTTGATTGTTGAAATATTGTTACATGTTTACAGTCTTGTTCGACACTATTTCTTTGAATTTTCTGTGATTCAATAAGACAAAACTAGGTTCATGGACCAAAATATATGTAAAACTACTTTTTCAACTTTTAGGATTATGAGTTTAACCGAAGAGTATCTAGGTTAGCATTTTATTTTTGTTAATTACTATTAATCAATCCTTTTTGAATTAAAAATATATTTTACATATTTAATAAAAATTCTTAGAATTTATTATTCAATTATTGTTCAAAATTTATCTAAAATAAAACTCATTGCATTTAAAAGTTGTTTTATTTCCAAAATATAAGTACTTAAATTAAAAAAAAATTGTAACAAGGTATGTCTTGCCAGTGACCTGTATATGAAGGTATATATTTTTTAACTTTCAACTTTTTATAGAAGTTGAAAGTTGAATATCACTTAATTGAACCCTTATTAACTGATTTCTTTATCATTTCATCACAGTATTAAAACAATTTGACAGAAAGAAACAAGAGAGTACTACAGTTACAAGAGTGCAATTAAACTTTGTTTTATGAGGAGGTAAGTTTATAGGCAATTTCAGTCTTCAAGTCTTACTGGACTTACACAGTTTGTTTTCATGTCAACTTATATCTGCAATCAAATTCCAGCAACCTGTTCTAGCAACATTTAAATTTTTGGTATGTTATTGTGCTTAATCATTTAATTCCATAATTGAGCGTTCCTGTACCATTGTGGAATGATGAGTAAGCGTCATTCTAAATTTAAGTTCCTCATCGGATATCAAGTGTTTTGCCTTTATCAAGTTCCGGTTACCACAACCGGCAACTGAAAAGAAAATAAACCTGGCCTTATTCAGTGATACTGTTATTACTGTGTATGCATTAAACGGCATGCTAGTAGGGTATGGGAAAAATTTTGAAGTCTTGTCTTAGACACAAACGTTGTAGTTTAAATGGCACAGAAGGCAAGAATAATCATCAATGAAACAGAAATGCCTACCCCCTATTGGAGGTATACATCGGTCACGTCGGTACAAGGGTCATAGCTCTAGAAGCACAACCTGGGACTACAACCAGTGCAATGATGTCATACCCTGAAAAGAATAAACAAGAAAAAAGTGCTTTTGACCAATGTATTTATAGGCATTCAACATGTCAACATTGAGCACCAAGGCTATTGGGCCAGCCAACCAGTGGATAAACTAGTAATTCTCCCTTTAGGTCGTGAAAACAGTACACTTTCCATCTTCGGCATTGTAATAAGTTAAAAATTATACCTGGGCATTTGATTCCCTTCTTATTCTTTTGTATGATTTTCATTATTACTTCTTTTTCATATATATGTCCACACATTGAGTTTCTTACTGGATCTTCTATTGATTTTTTTGTAAAAGGGTCATTCTACAAGGTTATTTTTAAAATTATATCGATTAATTATATTAAGAATTCTGTAAATTTTTCAAATATGTGATTTCAAACAAAATACTTACATATATTGTTTGAGATTCTGTTATTGCTATGTCTGAATCATCTATGTTACCTAAAAAAAACACAATTAAAGATATAAATAATATGTGGTATAAGTATGATTTTCTGAGGACTTACTTTTAGCACTTTGCATTGCTTTTTCAACGTGTTTCTTAAATTCCAACATGTATGGATGTCTATCAACAGTTAAACTGTTTTTTGCCATAATACGTAAGTTAGATTCAAACTTTGTATCTAGGCTGTCCACGTTTGAAGCATCAATTTCTCCCTAAAACACTTGAGCAATTAGTAGATTCAAAAAAAGGAAGAAATATGAATTTTTGATAGATAATTGAAATCAGTATCCAACTCAATAAAAACATGAGCAATAAAGTGTAAATATTGCTTTAGGCATAGAATTAGATATAAGTTTTGACTACGACTTTCCATAAAGATCTGAATAATTAGCGACCTTTAAATAATATAAATTACTTAGTAACCTATTGTGTATAAACCTTGGCTTTTTCTAATGCTTGTGCCGCTACATCTTCTCGTGCTTCCATCAAACAATATTCTTTCACGTGTAACTTCATTTTTTCATATTCACTACTTCTTTCAACATCTAAATATTTCGATATGTTTTCCGTGCACGAATATAAACTACTAAGACATTGTTTTCGTAAATCATTTAAATTAGAATCACCCATTATTGTTTATTATTATTCAACTAGTTTCACGTTTACGAGTATTCGTATTTCGTATATTTTATTATAATTCGATTATATATTTGTGTTCCCAAATGTAAAACCGTTATAATAATATTAATTATTAACTATTTATTTCACTTCACTTCACTTTATTTATAATGGCGAGTCGTGATCAGTGTGACCGTTTTAAAAAATGGCGTTCTACCAAAACTACAAGGTGCCAGTACTAAAAAATACCAAAACACATGCTGAATTATACTAAAAGAAAAAGAGGATTTTTTTTATTAAAACACTTATCAGTTACTTTTTAATTTTACCAATTACACACCTTCATTATACAGACATTAAAATAAACTATTTAGGGTAGCAATGACAAAGTAAATATAGGCGTATAGCGCTGATAAAAGTGCATCCAATTCATTGTTCAATCTTTCAACATTCCAAGCCAAAACATTTATGGATTCTCTGGGCATTCTACAGGCAGTATGCTACCAAGGCAGTAATTGTCACGCATCTCCACTATGTGGAACCTACCCGCTGAAGTACTTCCGAACCAAGTCGACTAAGGGTTAAGAAAAGAACGCACCAATTCTCTGGCATTGAGAGTCCATGAGCGGCAGTGTGTGTGAATTTTAGGTAAGACTACTGCCCATGTGTCCTCTGTTCTATAAAAACAAGTAGGAAATCATATGTTATACCTAAACCCTGCAACTCCTAAGTGAATAAGCTTATTCATAAATTCGACAATCATTCGCCGTACATGTTCCTTGGATTGGTCTAAATCTTTTAATCCAACTAATTCACAGTTCCGGACCTGCAGTGGAAAAACAACAGATAAGACACTGATTTCTTGATAACATTATTAATTACGATAAGGTAACATGTTTCGATTAGGTAACAAACATTATAATTACCTAATCAAAATTGTTTTATTATAACTGAAAATTAAAAATGTATTTTTTTTATATATGTATTGTTTGGATTCGCGGAACTTGACTTGCTCACTTGACAAATATGAATCTTCAAAACCCTAATCTAATATATAAAATTCTAGTATCACGGTGTCTGTAATTAAACTCCTTCGAAATGGCTCGGCCGATTTTCGTGAATTTTTTTGTGTATATCGGTTAGGTCTGCGAATCGGACATCTATTTTTCATCCCCCTAAATGTTAAGCTTATACCCCTAATTTTTGTTTTTATTTTTTTATGATACAACATACATAAATACATACAACCCTGAATTTTTACCCCTCTACGATCAACAACTATTTTTTATTATAGTAGATAATTATTTTTATTGAACTAAAAGAATGGTTTCTAGAAATTAAATACATGGCAAAACGTTTGCCGGGTCAGCTAGTAGTTATACTCATATTATTATAAAGATTGAAATGAATTAAATTTTTTTTTGTTGTTTGTTTGATTCTGTAAATTTTTTAACCTTTTTGTAGTAAAATGTATTATGTATTCCATCTCTGGCTATATTTTCAGTGTATCTTTTTGTTATTATAATATATAATTTAGGTTAGCTGTAGGATTACGAAATAAATAAATAAATAAATAACAAAAAAAAAGGGTGCGTGTACTTATGTACGCGCGTAAGAAGTTATACTTCTTTGGCATTATTAAAAATAGTTTTTGATTGCATGCAAATAATTAATTACAAATAAATAATCAAAGACTGGAAAAGGAGTCATTATAGTCAATTAAGTTCAGTTTACATTTGAAAAATTAAATAAATAATTATTTATTATTATTCTCTTACATTAAGTGTAACATAAATTCTATTTAGTTAAAAGTATATATAATTATATATTTAGAACATCTCTACCAAACACTAAGAAGTATGTTGTAGCTTTGGCAGTATTGCACAATATAAAATTAATAAATTTCTTTGAAAAATTAATCAAAACTCCTTTATTTGTTTAAAAGGTAAATGACAAATGTCATTATGGTTATTCAAAATTCTTGGAATACGAACTTCACGCATATTCTATTTCTTTTTACTTGTAGATTGTCTTATTCCTATCTCGCTCGCGCACGCTATAATCACACTCCCAATTTTGTGTCACAGGTGCGCGCGCATCGTAAAATTTCACTCTCATAAATTTTTCATAACGCGCCTAAAGAAGTATAACTTCAAAAATAATAAATATTTACAATAAGTTTTATTACAAATACTAAGTCAGTATTCGCTGCACTGAGCTAACTGAGCAGATTAAGTGCGTTTGCAGGAAAAGCCCTTTGCGATTTCCGAATCATAAAATATTTTGCTGAATAAATCGCTGAGATGATCCATGGCCCGAGATGGTATGTTATGTTCTGCCAACGCTGCATAAAATATAAGCTCTGCTTTTCTTACTTCTTCAGATATGGGTTCTTTCCTTTGAAGTTATTTATCATCGTTCTGAAAATAAACAGGATTGATTAATTTTCCTATCGTACAAAATAAGGAAAATACCTATTTCTTATTTTAAAAAACTAGTGTCTCATTTATGAAAATTTTAAAATTCAACTTGAAATCGCTTGAGAATCAATTATACATGTTTGTACAACTGTACATGTATTATCGAAGATTCATCGGACCATAAAAAAATAAGGGACACAATAATCTTATAAATATGTTAATGGGGGCATAGCTTTCTTACCTTGGATTGTCCACTATAATGAATAAGTTTGTGCCGATGTTTTTCAGAATATGCATGACTTTTAATTGTAGCGATTCTGCTTAAAAATGTTGCTCCACAAGTTTTACACAAGGCGTTCTCATTATTTTTATCTTTTGTCAACCATGACGAAAATTCAGGATTTTGTTCCCACTCAGATCTATATTTCTGATCGTATTTGCGCTTCATTATCTTTACTGCACATGCACACAGAGAGAAATAAATAAAGAACTAAAACATCCGTGGTCCCTTTTATACAGCATGTAACGTACCTAGATAGTAATACGTAGCTAAAGCCAGTCACGTGACACGTCTTCCCGATAAAGAAACCCCAGAATACAATAAAAAAAAGGAAACAGACTAATAATTTGGGAGCTATCCGCCATTGCAATAATCTAAGGACTAATTATTATAGTTTACAATTCTTGTCCACTTGGCCACGTTTGTTATTAAAAAAACGTGTGTGTACACGCGTAAAGCAGGGGCCACACTATGCCGGGGTAGGCCGGGCGGGCTGACCCGGGCGGCCTAAGCCGCGTTGATGTAGACGCCCCGGGCGGCTTTGCCGGGTTAGAAAATGCCGGCCCGGGCCGTGCCGATCCCAACCCGCATAAAGTAGGTACAGAAGAGATGCCGAGCCAAGCCGAACAAAAATATAGAATGGGGACGTGCCGAGCGCCCCGAGCGGCTTCAGTTACAATTAAACCTCAGACCGAAGTAGACGAATTATTTTATTTCCGATTCAGTTTGTTTAAGTAGGGTTTTTATTGTTCATTTTAAGTACTCTTCAACTAAATCACCAGTCTTGGTGTTGAAACTAAATAATGTAGGTAGAAATAGCCCGGTTGGCTTCGTTTTCAGTGTGGACGTCGTGCCGGCCCGAACGTACCCGCACGGCTTAGGCCACCCGGGTCAACCCGCCCGGCCTACCGCGGCATAGTGTGTACACGCGTTAGAAGTTATACTTCTTTGGCGTAACAAGATAAAAATCTTTTCAAAAATTTTAACGTACGTGTGGCTATAGCTAACTTCAGGGTGTCGGTTCTTTGTGACGGAATGACACACATTGTAAAAATTTACTCTCATCATTTTACCCTAACGCGCCAAAAGAAGTAGGTATAACTTTAAAAATCTTTTTCTCGCTTAGTTGTATCTCAAGTCACATTCTCGTCTTTGACGAATAAGTCAAACTTCATACAGAAAAATGGTTTCCCAGCTCTTTGTTGACGTTCTAGAACACGGGCGTTAGTAATAACGTTGTGACGTTTTACAAACAGAATATCGTTTGTGGAATAAAATACATATATTTAATCGGAATAAAAAAAGCTATTATTCTTTAAATATTTATTTAAATATATTAGCGCAATTACAGTTCTTAGTAAATAAATTAACCTAGCAATAAATATGGTTTAAGAATTTATAAGGTGTACTAAATCAACTAAGGAAATTAAAAACATGCCAAAACCTTTATTTTTATTGGAAAAGGTGATGTTTTTCATCATTTTAAATAACTTGGTAGTAGGCACTTCATTATTAACCGACAAACGATATGTCGAGTTTGTTACCATGGCTACCATATTTTTTTTACATAAACAATCGTAACCATGGTAACAAAAACGGTTAGAGACAGGTTGATACAATTTTTAATTTTGTTTGTAGTCTCTTGTCCAAGATGCACTTTGACTCTTAAACAGTGACCCCAACATGACCCAAAGCAGCCGACAACTGTTTGAGTTGTGCCCTCATCTCAGCTGGAGACATAGATCTACGGGCTCCGATCACTTTGAAGGCATTCAAGTATTCCAGCTCAGAGAATTGGGGACCTCTTTCGCGTACGGCCGCTATTATTTCCTGAAATTTATTTTTATTTTAGACAATTTGCAAGAGTTTGATTCTTAAAGTTAAAAAATATTTAAATTCCATTACAATGTTTAAAGCAAATTCCATAATATAATTTTTTATATTAGGAGTACATTGTCTTCACATATTATAATTATTTAACTAATGTATACAAAATATTGAAAAACATAATTTAAAAGAGTAAGTATGGAGTTTCTGGGCCATTCTTCTCCACACGAAACTACCTTTTGGAAGGGGCAACTAGAATTATCTTTATATTTTATTTAACGTTCAAAAGCGCCATTGTAGGTGGTATTTTATGAATAAATGATTTGACTTTGACTTTAATTAATTTTTTTTTTAACAGTTTACAACACGCGTGAGTGAATGAGTGTGCGTGTGGGTGCATGCGAGTGAATGAGTGCGTATAATGTGTCACTACATGTGAGGTTAGGTTAGGTTAGGTAGAAAGTGTCGTCTTTAAGACATTCAAATAATCATTTTCTATAGTTTAAAAGCTACAGATATCTTACCTCTGGAGAGCATGACAACAAATGAAGATATGCATGCGCTGCATGTAATCCATCATGAGGCAATTGCAACGCTGCGAGGCAATGCCGCAGTGTTGCCAGCCTGTCTCCCGCTGCCCTCCCCCCGATTCCCAAACTGCTCCCTAACCCCCCAGTCGCCCCTAAACCCGCGCGTTCTATACCTTGCCATCGCCATACAACTGCCGATGACATCATCTCGCCAATACCGTTCATTATATACTGTTGAGATAGAATATTTGTCTATAAATACAAGTCTGTGCCTAAGATCTGAGATCTGTGTCAAAAAAAAAAAAAAAAATTTATTAATATAGGTATTAATATAAAGTGTAGAAAATTCATACAAATAATAAATTTATTTCTTCGATTATAAAAACACGTGGCATTTTAATTTACAATTCGTCATTTGAGATTTCAATAATTTTTTTTGCATAAAATAAAAATACTAATACTTCATAAATTGTCTTTACGAAATTTTAATTATAAAAATATAATTTCTATAAGGTAATTCACCCTTCTCACTCTCTCTCAATCGCTCTCTCCCTTTCGACAAAAACGCTGCATATCTTCGTGACGTTCCGTAAAAATTTTACCCTCATACGCCTAAAGAAGTTTCACTTCAAAAGTAAAGGCTTATTAGTATTTCTAATGTGGAACAAAGGAGCAAAAGAATATGACTCACCGCAAGCCTGACAGGAGCCAATATAGTGGAGGCCCTCTCGTGGAACCTCAAGAGGCTCGAGGCCAAACGGGCCACTCCCCCCGCCTCACCACTCTCCCCCCCGTCGGGCCTCTCCTCCCACTCTTGGCCCAAGTAGTGGAAGCATTCGATGCGCATCTGGTACAAGTGTTATCAAATGATGATTCATATCAGATTTAAAATAATGTAAATCTAAATTTGTGGAGAAAAATTAAGTGTTTTTTATTCACGTAAAACTCTTTATGCTTCCGGAGCGATATTATACAATGAAAACTAAACATAGATACAAATATAAAGTGCGGACGGAGTGCGGCTTTCGAATTATGCGTTATGCTTTGAAAAAGACATAATTTCAACTAAACTATTGCGCTGGATTTATTTATTTATTTGTATTGACTGGAACAAAAAAAGCGAAATCCATACTTTCGCTGTGCGTTGTAAGTTCGCTGTGCGACTTAAAAAACTGAGTATGATGTTGTCTTTAACAAGAGCGAAACAAGAAAGATTTCGTAAAGAGTTTTTGCTTCAGATAGATGATTCTACGCCGGGACACAAAGTGGGTCGATTTGGATATATGAACTTCTATTTTCAGACATGTATTTAGCTTAAAAACAGGTCCGGCCACGTGTTATACATACATAATTATATATTTATAAATTACTAGCTGACCCGGCAAACGTCGGTTTGCACTGTATATTATTTCTAGAAAACATGTTTTTAGTTAAAAAAAATAACTATCTACTATAATAAAAAATAGGGGTTGAACGTAGAGGGATGACAATTAAGGGTTGTATGTATTTCTATATATTGTTTCATAAAAAAAATAAAAACAAAACAAATTGTCACAAAAACAAATTAAAAATTTTTTTTTGCTGTAGTCAACCCTTATCAGTTATCAGAATATGCATATAAAATTTGATAAAAATCGGTGAAGCCGTTTCGGAGGAGTATGGGAACGAACATTGTGACACGACAATTTTATATATTAGATTACTATATTTAAATTACATTTGTAATTGGACGCTTAAATATTGTTCATAACGTGCCTCAATTGCAAATAAACATATTTACCTCCAAATGCAAGAAAAGCAGACACTTATTTGCGATCTCATCGAAGATGGACGCGGCCGCGTAGAGATCGTTCACAGATTTATCTCCGAGATGTAGAACGCCACCCGCACTTAACACATTTGGAAGATTACGAATGTTAGAACTGATCCATTCCTGTAAAAAAAAATGGGCTGAGTTACCATTGAATTGGCATTTTGCATACGATTTGTCCTACGAGACATCACACACAATGCAAACCTACATATAAGCTACCGAAAAACGCACTTTCTTAAAAACAAAATTTTCACTATCGATTCAAAACTTTATACACTAGAAATCAACAACATCTTCTCAGCCTGTTCTATGATAAAATGGAAAATATTCACAATAGTTTAATTATAAAATGTATGTACGTGCCAAGGCTGTACATTTTGCTCCCTCCCTTTCTTAGTTTTATCAGCGTGGCGATTTCCTAAACTGGAGTTACGCCCCGAGAGTACAGCCAGACGTAGGCGCTCTCTTCAACTGTTACATTGCATTCATTCTTTACATAGCAATTAACATTTCATTATTGCGCACATATTATATTGTTGTACGCGAGTGGTTAATATAGAGTATTAAAATTCTCTATTATTTAATTTACCCCAATGACCCAGGAACCGAACAATGTAAGTGTTATGTACCGTCAACATGTAAAAGGAAGAGACTAGCACGACATCCTGTTTGGTAATGAAAAATAAAGTTTTTTTCTTTCTTTCAAAAAAGATAACTAAACTAAACTTAGACGGCGGATAGACCAAATTAGAAACAGCTGGTGGTACATGGCAGAGAGTGGCACAGTGCACACAGATTCCTAAGAAAAAAATTGTGTGCGTGTACTAGGTGTACACAGTACACACGTAAGAATTGAAACTTCTTTATGACCTTATTTTTCGAAAAATGATCTACTATATGCAACTTAACGAAATTGGGTAAATAAAGTTTAACAAAAGGCTTTTATTATCATAGACATGAATACAAATACAATTATTTCATTTTACCTTATTACTACTAAGATTATTACAGAATTTCATTAATTGTAATAGAATTATTACTATCATTATCGTTATTATATATTTTTGTTATTAATGGCTTCGAATCTCTTCGGATCAACCGTGGTAGGGACAAGAAAAACATGGCGCGTAACCAAAAAATGTGACGCTTAACGAAAAAATGTTACACTAAATTTTTTTCCAACCCCGATAAGTTTCACTTACATACACATAAATCCTTTATTTGCCAAGACAGTAGTACAAAATAAAAAAAATCTAACAACAAGAAAAGTCCGCACAATCAGCCATATATAATTAGGCATGCAAATGTCATAATAAGAAGTCCAGTCATTTATGAGTAATTGTTAAACTTATGTTCTAAATATTCGGTCACGCTATAGAAGCACCTTGACTTTAAAAACCTAATCACCTTCCCCTTGAAAACATTACATGGCAGCCTAATAGAAGATTTAAATAGAAACGTGTTTTAATGTGAAAGTATCTGAATTAAAAGGCTATTATTATTATTATTAAGTCGGATCCTGCCCCTTTTGTCCTCCTTTCTATATAAAAAATCGGTTGTCCGTAAAGTCGGTTTACTGACGATAGTTGAACGTGACAACGTCATAAGAAAATACTGATTTTATTTGTTTGATAGATATTTTTATGGATATAGAGAAGGAGGTAATTGGAAGTCACAATTGAATTGATCGATTGCAATATAATCGATATAATACTATAAAGATGCCGAACGCTGCCGAACGCGGAGGCCGATGTGTGCCTCTTTGTCGCTCGTTCCGCGCTCTCGCTTGCACTTGCTTTAAATGGATCGCCGCAAGCGTCATGTTGTTTCGTGCGTGCAGCCGGCTCCATCGAATTATAAGTGGTTGTCACGTCAAAAAGTCACTATTAGCCTCCATATATCCTTCAATCTTACCATAGTCTCAGCGAGCACGGCCAGCTCTTCCAGCAATTGGTTATCCACAACCACTTCCCTAATGCTGATTTCTCCATCTCCCAAAGAGGTCCCCAAAATCTCGGCTTCACGCTCATATGCCGCTTTCAACTCCTGGAATTAAAAATATAATTTTTTTTTAAATCTGTATGTTTTAGATACTCGGGTTAAGGTCGGTGGCGGTTGTTGGGATATGTTCTAATGTATGTTTTTTTTCATGTAACAGGAGGCAAACGGGCAGGAGGCTCACTTGATGTTAGGATACCGCCGCCCAAGGACACTCACATTGCCAGAGGGCTCGCAAGTGCGTTGCCCGCCTTTCCAGAATTGGTACGCTCTTCTCTTGAAGGACCCCAAGTCAAATTGTTTCGGAAAAGACAGTGGGCAGCTGGTTCCACATAATGTTAAATGAAACTCTGTGTAAGCTGGGTGTCAACTGGCTTTATTTGTTATAACATGAGCTAATAAATAACATAAAATTAGGGGTAGTGGGGTTGCGACGCTAAGAAAAAACTAACTTGACTTATTGAAGGGTTCTTAAATCTAAGTGACACTTATTTTACCTATAAGAATATAAGTGTAGGCGATCAATTGGACATAATAAGAAAAAAAAATCAGCCATTTTGTATATCAAATGTTTTCAAACTCTATGGTCATCAGAAATAAATGTACCAAATTTCAGATCAATCCGTCAAAAGGAAGCGGGTAAAATTTAAATACATAACTAGATTTAACTAGATACTTATTGTCGATCTATAATGAAGTAATAGTAGTAATGACTGTCAACATACAGAAAAGGAAAAGGAATAACATTTTTTTCTCTTTAGAACAAACGGACAGGAGGTTTACTTAATACCACCAATGCCAGAGGTATGCTCGCGAGGGCGTTGCCGACCTTTTAAGAATTGGTACATTTTAGTTTGAATTGAATCTTGCTGATATAAAATATTTTTTTAATTTAACAGTATGGCCAAAAAGTCGTGGATCAACCGCAACTAGAGGATAGATTTAGCTGCAAATAATTGTTCTACGGGAGAACCTTAAACTTAACCCCTGTAGAGTTATAATTTATTTTGCGATTTTTTAAGAAAATTGACTTTTTATACTAATTCTTATTAAATTTGAAAATATCTACATCCTGTATATTTTTCATAATATCCACTAGATTGGTACTGATGAGTTCTTGCGTTAGACATACTATTTATAGTTGTTTATTGAGTGTATTGAAGATAATATTAAGTTATATGATATAAAAATTTCTTAAATCATAACTTTTTGTTTACCCCACTGTGAAAAAAATATACTCTACCGAAAAGTGACCCTGTATAACAAGTTTTGGCGAATTCAATAGGGATTCTGAAAAGGTGACATGGTCATGATTCGCTCTGGAAAATCACCTTTTGTATGGGCGTGTCCTTCTGATCGTGCAACAGACGATAGTTGGGCAGGGCCTGCAGGAATCGCACGATGTCGTCGTCCGCCAACCAACGCGCTGCCCGCGAAGGCGGCCCGGGCGTCAGGCGGCTGTGGGCGCTGCGGGCGTGGACGGCTAGGGAACCTGGACGAGAAATATTATTAAACATTTGTTTGATAAAATAGTTCAGGAACAAATATTGACCAAGCGACTCTCATCTCTGAGGTCGTAGGTTCTACCCCCGGCCGTGCACCAATGGAATTTCTTTCTATGTGCGCATTTAACGTTCGTTCGAACGAAAAACATAGTGAGGAAACCGGCTAGCCTTAAACCCAACAAGTCGACGACGTCTAGACAAATTATCATGGAACAGATACACAATTCTGAGTCCCAGACCTAAAAATGTTGTAGCACCACTGGTTTATTCTATTCATTTATAATAAATTAGATCGATTGTTAATGTAATTATTTAACATTCTTGAATTTTTCACGTTTATATTCGTTCAAGAAGTGTATCGGACTGAATATTAATAACCCATATACGCAGCTTACCTATAGCGGCTTCGGCGGCTCGAACCAAGGCCAAGCCGCCACAAGCGCCTGCTCGTCGAGCAGCCGTCGAGCAGACTTCCACCGCGGCCCAAGCACGCGAACAACTCGCAAATACTACGCGCTGTTCGCCGCTGAATTGACAATTTATAATTATTATACGAAATATTTGAATAAAGCATTACGCGATACGTTAATGATAATTTACTTAAACGCGCTTACAAAATACGTTCAAAAATATGTATAAATGTTGTGAATTTTAGTTTAAATTAGACGTGTTAGAATAAACAAAACAAGATTTTACTAAAACATTTGTTGAAACGATCAGTGCTGTCAAAATGGAGGTTTTCCCCCAAGATCAAGGTTAGGGATGGTCGATATTAGAAAAATGTTTGACATTAATATGTCAACAAATTGACATCGATGTCATATTCGAAAGCCCAACATCGATATTTATTGAAAACCGAACATCGACGTTGGTAATTAGAGCCGATGATTTTAGCATTAATAATTGACAAAGAAATTAAATACAATTAAACAAAGAAAACATACAATTAAATTATTACATATTCCAATATTTTTTATCAACTGACTGAAGGAAAAGTAATTTTAATAAAACCTTTTCATCTATTTTATTGTTGATAAAGAGTGTGAGAGAGAAAGAGCAAGACTACGAAGAATGAATGAAGGGAATGACCAGTGCGCAGTGAATGAAAACAAGTACAGAATGTTAATAAACCTGATTTGTGGATGCGTTAATAGAAAATATAATTAGTTTCGAAAGTTGCATTGGTCGTGCCGTGAGTTAACATCGATGATCGATTCCGTTAACATTGATGTCACAATATTTTTCGTATGGCAACATCGATGACCATTGAGCATCCGTAATAAAGACCCATTCTTCAGGAGGTTTTTTACTTTTTAGGGGATTTTGTTTAGGAGACACTTTAATAAAGAAAAAATGTTGTTTGCTTAAAAAATACGCTCGATTCTAATTTGTATACAATTCATATTAAGCCTCGAGGCTCAAACCCAACCAACGAACTAAACTTTGTAGCATTATTGTTTGCGATATAAAATAAAATAAAATAAAATATGTTTATTATGGAACATAAGATACATGTATCACTTATTCCACGTCATTAAATTTGAAGGCATCCCTACTCATCGGCAAAGAAGACAGAGGGTGTAGGCCGAGAGAAAAAGCCGGCGTAAAAAACTCTCGGTACTCTTTTAAAACAGCAAATCATCAAACAACACTTATTTAAAACAAATATCGCAAATTGATTAGATATGTTAATCATACCATCTAAGAATTGTCACAGACCTATTTATAATTATTACTAAATAAATAGAGGCCTTACGCGGCGTTGGTCACGAGGGTCCTCTCCCTCCAGGCAGAGGCCTCCCTCATAGCAGCCTCGATGGTGACTCGGGCTTCGGCCACGAGGCGCTCGCTCTCGCCCCAACGCACGTAGTCCGTTATGAAAGCGCGAAGGGAGCATTCGCCTCCGCTGAACAAGTTTCACATAACTATGTTATATGCTTCCAAATATACAGGACAAGCATTTTTATCTAAATGTAATTATATTTTAAAACATATGTTGTATACAAAATTGATTGTTGATTGATATTCTTTAGCTGGCATCTCTGCCTACTAATTCTAAGTTTAGTAAACCTTTAAAAAAAAATGTTATCTTTGCTTGCGTTTTTTTACTGTTTCTGATGAAAAGGGACGTAATCGTCACTCGCCGTAAAACCACTTTTAATGTGGAGCACCGCACTTAATAAAATGGATATATTCACTAACAAATACAATGTATGTATAGACTCAGATGTTCAGACTCGTATTGAAATTGAAAAAAGTGCCTGGCCAAAGGTTTGTCATCTCTGACATATCAAAAAATTATAGCTGTCAGAATTCTACGGAACGAAAAATCTGCGTTTAGTTATAAGACCTTTAAAATCATTCAATCAATAAGATTCTTAGATTATTAACAATAATTGTTTTTTTTTTTATGTAACTTCCTCTTGAAATGTTTAAAGTGTATGTATTTGTTATGTTTGTGTGTTATAAATAATGAGCAACTCACCCCGGTTTCTCTAGATTGGTACACAAGGCGTGTAAGGCCGGCAATATCGCGTGAAGTAAAGCCGGGTGTGGAGGGCACACCAAGGGGTAGCGCTGTCTGCGGGTCAAGGGACCACTTGACACCGGAGTTGCGGCTGCTGCAATGAACATCATCAGTATTCAGAGTGGAGCTTGTAAAAGCGAAAAGCAGTCTGGAAATGGTCACGTTACAAGTTTGCGATAGCAAGTGGGTCAAGGCCCATGGTCAAACGCACCAATATTATTGATTGTTTCTTAACCAACTTAGGGTCCGTCAAGAAAAGAGCGTCCATTTCTTAAAAGGACGGCAACGCACTCGCATTTCTGGCATTTTGAGTGGCCATTGGCATTACTTAACATCAGGTGAGGCTCCAACCCGTTTGCCCGTTATTATATTATAAAAAAATCTATTTTAAAGCACGCTTTTTCTGGTACGCCAGTGATATTTGCCGATATTGTCGACAAAAATAAAAACTTAATTAAAAATAGTCTGATAGTGAAAAAATAACGCCGAGACGAGAATTATTATGACTGAAAACATTTTGATAAAGAGGCTACAACGTACCAGTAAGTCTAAACAGCTTGTCGCGTCGCCTCTGCGGCCTTTTCTTAGCAAAATAGTCTGATAGCTTCAATTCAGGTACAGCCGTTTCGGTGGCCAATGTCCGCGCACCAGACAAATTCACGCTCTCTATCTCTAAATATTCCGTTAGGAGTAGTTGCATCTGAAAAAATAATAAAACATTTAGAGAATACCAACAAATTGTACCAGAAAGTTGTTTTATCTTAAAATTATAAGCCCTGAGTATATACCTCGCCTCGCCTCCTTAACATGAAATCAAAAAATCTAAGTCTAATCGTACGACCAACCAGGCTCCATAATATAAACCACTTCTTATATGGAAATTGTATTTGTTTTTAAACTAAACTAAAAAACTCCCAAGCGAAATTAGAGAATTGTCACTGAATAAATTCAAAGCTTTCGTTAATCGGAAATTAATCAATAAAGATTTTTAAATTTGACGAATATTTAAATGGTTCTAATCCTTGGAATTGATTTGCTCCAGTTCAAACAATTTGTATGACTCAAAACTTGGCGAAAAAGAGTGGCGGAGAGTTTCTTGCCAGTTCTTCTTGATCGATTTACGCGCTTGACTTGCGAACTGGTAGTAAATGTAAATTTAGAATCAATTTAACATCTTTTCTGTTCACGTTCATAAGTGCACGTGTGTACCAATTTGAATAAAGTTATTTTGAGTTTGAAGAATGGCACACACACAAATGTCAGCCGTAAGAACTCACTACGTAATTATAAAATTGAGGACGTAACTAATAATAAATATATAGCAAAAAGATTATTAAAATAATGATGCGAAACATAAAAGACAGTATCAAATATGACGATGGGCCGAGTTAAAATATGTAACGTAGATTAAGTACGTAATGTATGAAAATAAAAATGTGTATTCCGAACAGATATTTCATATTGAAACGGCGAAATTGAAGCTTCTAGAACATTAAAAGGAGTGGTGGACTTTGTTTGAGAACTGGCAGTAAATTTTGTATTTTTTAAATGACATTCATTTTTTATAAAGGTGCGCTTACACGGGCAACTAAAATTGCTCAATTCCAGTCAATACTCGTCAATTATGACGTCACGACTACATCAAGCAATTTACGGCAACGGCAACAAGCATCAACACTGCGCAATACAATATTGAGCGATATGGCGCAACTTCATCAACTAGGCAATACTGTCATACACGAGCATTTCAGTTTTCGCTCGCTATGGACGACATTGTTCTTGCTGAGGCGGTTTGTAGCGCTTTTTTTATCATTAATCAAAAACAAAAAAGGAATAGGCGTATCTGGGTGCGATCGTTTTTGGCAAATAGGACAAAATTTTCATTATGTAAAGATGATATATTATTCAAAAACTTTACTAGAATGTCACGAACAGACTTTGAATTACTTTTGAATAAAGTAATTAGAAATTATTATTATTTAGACCTCTCCTCGCGGAAGCAAGACGGCAAGCCGCAAAACAAACAGGTGCGAATGAGATATATACAAAAATTGCTAGGAATTTCCAAGTCCATTGGATATTCGTCAATTCGTATCTGCGACATTGAGCGATATGAAATATCTGGAGCAATTAGAAGCAATATCGCCGAAATAATTTATTGAAATTGCTCCAGATCGGTCCATTCGTGTCGCCGAGCAATTATTGCCCTCGTGTAAGCACACCTTAAAACACAACTTTTATAATATAAATGTTAGATTTAATAATTAGCTCAACAGTTTTCACAACATGGGTTTTTTGGTGGGAGAAAAGGCACTTCTTTATGATCTAAGTTATCTTCAATTTAGAGAATATCTATTCGACTTACGGACCTTGAAGAAAAGAACGTACCAATTCATAAAAGGCCGGTAACGCACTAGCGAGAGTGTCCATGGGCGGCGGCTCCCCATCTCATGTTTCAAAGATACAGCACTTTTTTATTTATTAGGATTAAATAACTTTGTTGTTAATCATGTATGTTAATGCCAATATTTTTGGAATACATATTTAATATTACATATTTTTGTTTTGTCTTAATTCACATGAATCCAAATTCCAGCAAAATCGGTTTAGTATTTGTCAGATAAGTGAAGATATTATGTGTGTCAAACATACCACTTGCTGCACAGCGCTCCAGTAATGATGTTCCGTGTGAAGGCAAGAGTCCGGGATTTTGTGTTTCTGAAGCGACGCACGCCAGACTTGGATTAATCTTTAACACAAAAGTTCATTAAAGACAGTTTATTGAAACTTTTTTAGGCGCATGAGGGTAAATTTTTACAGAAACGTCACGAAAATGTGCAGCGTTTTTGTCGAAGAAAAGGGAGATTTTTTTTTAGGAATTTATGAAATATTAGTAGGTATTTAATATTTTATGCAAAATAGTTAATTGAAATCTCAAATTACGAATTGTACATTAAAATGCCACGTGATTTTATTTTCGAAGAAATAAATGTATTATTTGTATTAATTTTCGGCACTTTTAATATTTTAATGACAATTAAATTCATTGAATTTCTAACATATCTTCCTTTTTCCCTCTCTCTAACGCCTTTAGTACACCTACGCGTTCGTATGCGGCTGCGAGTCTTTGCGAAATAATTGCGGTAGCGAAATATCTGCGGAACGTTAGTACACTGCTGTTTTTTCGCAAGGAAATGTCAATGTAGCTTTATTTCTTACCATCTATCCCCATCTTTTCTTGAATTTTCCTCCATGCCACCTCTTTTTTGTATTGTAATTAACATGCCCAACTAAATATAATTCGGGATAATTTCGAATCAAATTTAATAATAATTCAATATTTTCGGCTTCCATTGTGCGAAATTCTGTCCTCACTGACAGAACGCGTGGTGACGCATTGCGATGCGAAACTCCGCTAGCGAAACGGCTGCGTCTGTGTAACAGCCATTTCGCAGTTACTTGCGAAACAATACCGACAAGGACGCAACTATTTCATCTAGCTATATAATAGAGCGAGAGAAAACACATGCGAAACGTTGCCATACAACTTACAGTTTTTTCGTCGTTTCGCTGCCGCATGCGATTGCGTAGGTGTACTAAAGGCGTAAGTGTCGGAAATCTAAAGTTTTAGATTTGTATAAATATGAACAAGACTTAAAAATTCGTTTTTAAAAACAATATCACTTCTGACATGTGTTTTTGTACTCACGCACTTTGTTAATTATTTATAACCACAAATGAGTCATGTATTTTCATGCACGCAGCCAGCTTTCATCGATTTATAAGACGTTATCACGTCAATAATATCCTCTATTATTTAAATCACCCGTACAGTACACGGTAAATAACAAGCTTTAACCCCTAAATAAAGATCAAATTCCTTTAATTATGAAGAATAATTTGTATGTTAATAACGAATAAACTCAAAAACTGTATCGATTTCCAAAATTCTTTCAACATTAGATTGCTACATGCTCTGATGCTATATTTATTTCCAAAATAAAAAAATATCCAGACGAAGCTGGGATAGGTCACTAATTATAAAAATAACGTTTATAGAGAAAATTTAATTAGAATACAAACTGTTTGTCGGTTTGTATTTAATAAATAAAAGTTAGTTTAAAAGAGTCAAACTTAATGTTACAAAGTGAGACAGACTAAAACCGACTACGTTACCGGCCTATAATTAACAAAAAACAAATACCTCTTATTCCTCATCCCACAGGCCTTGAACTCATCTCCCAAGCAAGTAACGAGCCTCGCAAGCGGTCTACCCGTCTCTGTCACACCTTCCTCGCAAACGTCTCCGTCCTCTTCCCCCTCGAAATCCTCAAAGTCATCGTCGATTATACGACGCGACACAGAATCAATTACTTCCAGAAGTTCCGTCTGAATTTGAACTTTGAATTTCTGCAAATATTATTCATAATTTGTACAGCCTCTGTATGTACAGGGTTTGTAGGTACAGGCTATGTGTAAATTCATGCAGATATAATTGTAACAAGACCTAAGGCTTTAGCCATTAGGCCATTACTATTTTAAACTTACTAGGAACTGGAACTTTTAAAGTACCCATTATGCACAACGGAATCGCTATTATTAAAAAAAACATAATGTCTATCATTTTAGGTTGAATGTCATTCTAAATCAAAATTTGATGACAAAGGTTTCTTTGTCAACCTCATTACTTTTTATCCAAATAAATATACAATTCACATCACAATCACAACTGAAAATTAAGATCAAAATTGCCCTCGATTCAACTTTAATATAAACATCATAAATTTAAAACACCTGACCTCAGTGGCTTCTTTTAGCTGTTCCAAAACGCCAAGTGCTTCCAGCGACATCATTACCGTTGTTTCAAACGTGCGGTCGTCTTCTGTGAGCGAAGCTTCATACTCCGGTGTGATGTCTTGCAAGTGCGCATCTGTCAATTCTTCGCTCTTTGTTAATTCTGAATAAAAATAAACAAATAAAAATAAACGTCCCAGCTTGTAAAAACAAACGAAACACTAAGTCCGCCTTTGCCTGTCACCTGTGGAATCCTACATGGTTCGGCTTTGGGACCTCTATTGTTCCTCACCTACATACCTATTCCATTGCGGACCCTCAATATGCTTTTCAAGCTCAAAAAACAATCTATTTCTAGTTTAAAAAAATTCCATCACACACATCAAATCGTAGGCTCGATTTTTGCCGATCACTTACTAGTGTAGAAAGTAGAAATACTTTTCTAGGCACATTCTTTCAAAATGAGTGACAAATATATTCATAGATTTTAAAGTTAAGAGTAGTAAAAGGAATTGTAGCAACCTGCTAATAAGAGAGTAGTCCTGCGACGAGATGATACTCTTCTATTTAGCGGCGTTCGCTCGTCCTTGTACACCGCATCACTCAGTCTCCGAACTATCATGTCCACGAGCTCCAATTTCTTGGCCTAAATTTAAAGTCAAAGTCAAAAAAGTCAAATCGTTTATTTCAATTAGACCATCTAAAATGGCACTTTTGAACGGCAAAAAAAAAATATAAAGATGATTCTAGTTGCCCCTTCCAAAAGGTAGTTTCGTGTGGAGAAGAATGGGCAAGAAACTCCACACTTACTCTTTTAAAATAGGTTTACAATATTTTGTTACATTTGTTAAATAATTATATGTGAAGACAATGTACTCTTAGAATAAACTACTATACTAAAAAAGTTAGTATACATGTTCCTCACATATTTACAAATATCGAAACCTTAGAATATTAACATTAAAGAGTAATAAAAATATTAAAAAAACACAACAAAACAGTGTGTGAGATACAAAAAAAATAATTACATTTGTAGCATTATATAAATTAAAAAAAATAAAATAATAATAACAAAAATATGTTAAAGCAAAAAATCAGCAACCAATTTGATTTTGTCCAGACTATAGAGCCAATCATAGGATTGTCCTATGGAGCAGGACCAGCATGTTTCCAAGCATTCTTATCTTGAATATAATCATCTAATTTGTAATATGCTTGTTAACAAAGTGTACTTTTAATAAAACATTTAAATTTTCGTTCATTTAGTTTTAAAATGTCACAAGGTATTTTATTGTAACATTTCACACAGTACCCCATAAATGAATTTTGAACTTTGGCTAATCTGAAAGATGGTTGAGCTATTTTATCTTTATTTCTAGTACTAAAATTATGTCTTTCATTTATTTTACTAAAAAGATGTAGATTCTTTCTTACATACATAATATTTTCATAAATGAATTGGCAAGGTACTGTCATAATATTAATCTTTTTAAATAGTTCCCTGAGAGATTCGCAACGACGTAGATTAATTAATTTAATTCAAATTATTCAATGAGATGAAAGAGCACATATTTAAAAAAAAACTTTGTAATACCTATGATAATTTCTCGAAAAACTTCTAACAGAACTCGTAATTATTTAATGAAATCAAACCTAGAATCTCCAATATAAAAGCATTGAATGAACTGAACTTCAGAAATTCAGAATACTGACAGTGTAAAGCACTCGTCACCAAGTCAGCAAAGCAAAGTTGAAAATTGTTTCAAACAATAAAAAAATACCTCACTATAGTAAATATTACATCAACATTTATGGTCAGCGATATATTATTAAAAACCTTACCTCCAAATTCTGCGTAGTCGTAGAGAGAGCGTGAACGTGCGGTAAATGCGTGCCTGCCGTTCTCAAAGCGGCCTGCAGTGCGTGCGCGCTCGCTACTACGCGTCCGCGACTCATCAACTCACGCGCTTCCCGCTCACAAACCACCACACGTTCGCTGTTAAGTGAATGTCAATGGGAATACAATTCTTTAAAGCCATGGATCAATATTTTAACAGCGGTGTAGTCATTACAAGTCAGGAATATATTCTAATACTTTTTCTCTATACATTTCAGCCACGAGAAAATTAAATTTCATATATAGTGGGCGACTATAAGTATAACAGTAGTAGTGTTTAGTGCAGACATCTTTTATTTATTGTCTACAGGGAATATGAAGTGCCCAATCAAGTAAGGATATTATATTATTCAGCAATGAAAACAATTGAAGAATAATGTTTACCAGCAAAATGTTTATTAACTGTAATAAGATACTAACTTTGATAATTTTGTTATTATTATTTTATTTTTTTTTAATTTATATAATGCTACAAATGTAATTATTTTTTTTTGTATCTCACACACTGTTTTGTTGTGTTTTTTTAATATTTTTATTACTCTTTAATGTTAATATTCTAAGGTTTCGATATTTGTAAATATGTGAGGAACATGTATACTAACTTTTTTAGTATAGTAGTTTATTCTAAGAGTACATTGTCTTCACATATAATTATTTAACAAATGTAACAAAATATTGTAAACCTATTTTAAAAGAGTAAGTGTGGAGTTTCTTGCCCATTCTTCTCCACACGAAACTACCTTTTGGAAGGGGCAACTAGAATCATCTTTATATTTTTTTTTTTTTTTTGACGTTCAAAAGTGCCATTTTAGATGGTCTAATTGAAATAAACGATTTGACTTTGACTTTGACTTTGTAATAAAATTTGTAGTTCTAAATTATCAATGGTTTAAACTTACATATCTGTCAACATCTGCAGCGCATGATGATGTGTTCTGGCATCAGTCCACAGGCGTCTCAAGTCATCTCTTCTGACTCGAAGCAAAGCTCGACAAGCAGACAGCCTCGCTTCAGCAGCTGAACAATGCTGGCCCCATGCACTTAGTGCAGTGCCCACAGCAGCGAATTTCTAAAATAATTGGTTTGAATCAATACATCAATAAAAATTTAAATGTGGATTGAGCCAAAACTCCAAAAGCAATTAAATATGTAAAGCCATTAAATAATTCTAAAACACTTCAAATTTAAGACTTTGTGGGTAAGCTAAGCTTGCAGTATATTCATATTTAAAAATTTATTAAAGTTAGTAATAAGAAATAAATGTGTACCAATAAGTACCAGAAAATGTAGTATTTATAACATTATGATCAAGCACACTTTTTATAATTTATTGCCATAAGTTTTTGAATAAACTCCAATAAATACATTAAATAAAAATAAAGATCTTCTTTCTTTAATGGAGTGAAATACATACTTGCATAACTTCTGTAATCTCATTAGCATGTTCTGCCACTAGCTCATCCAATCTTGCATCACTTTTTTTATATTCTTTCTCTAATTTTGCCCTCTCTTTCTCTCTTTGTTCATTTGTTTCACTGCCTGATAATGTCCGAATAACAGACATCAACAAACCACTCTGAAAAGATTATGAAGAAGAAGTAAAACTCTTTCTTAACTGATGTTTAGTATATAATATTAAAAGAATTTCGTATGTTATCTTTGACTTGACATTGAAATGGGGCGGTACAGAAGTATTACTAATGAGAGATTGTATATAAAAATATTTTGATATACAGTCAGTACTTTACTAAAAACTATTTCATTAAAATTTCTCTTTACAACTTACAGTTTCTTTGCCCTGTTTTACGCCTCTGGGAGGTTTAGTTGGAGGAGAGGATGTCATTTTTTCTTCGGGATAATATATACCAAGGATTAGATTAGTTTTCTTAACTAAATATGAAGTGCAGTAATTTTCAAAATTAACAAAAGTTTCATTTTAATTAATATGTTTCGCCTCCTTAATTCTTTTTAGGATTTGGCTTTCCCTAAATATTTGTTTTCAAATTTGATTTATTTCTGTCATATGCCGTATGCAGTTAGCAGTATGCTAATTGCTAGTTATCAAATATCTGTCAGTTTTGTTTCACATACGGCATAGCCAACAATGAACAATCACAGAATGTCTTATTGTATTTTTTTTTTTAATAGTTAAACACACCCGGGTACAAAAATATAATATTTCATTTATTTTATTAGGCGTTAAATGATAATAGATAAATAATTCAATAAAAACGTGAAATTTTTGCTTGTCAGATGTCAAATGTAAATGCCAAGTTATAATTGAGTGATTGATATCGTAGTATATAAATAATAAATATATCTGTGAATGAAATTTAAATTTTAAAATTTAAAAAATTTCTCAACCGTTTCTATTTAAATTTGAGGATCAATAATTCAATAGTAAGTATTCATATGCTATCTTTAAGTCTATAATATTAACGTTATCGATAACCATGGATGAATCCAGTGTAAGTAACAAAACTGAAGCAGATTTATCAGAAGACGAACTAAGTGAACGATATAATTTACTAAAAAAACAATACGATGAACTTACTAGTAACTATGAAGCAATTAATCAAGAAGTTCACGAAACAAAAAGAACCTATCAAACTTCACTTGAAATGCAAAGTTTTCTGCAAGCAGATTTGGAAGCATGCAAGCTTGAGGAACAAAAACAAAGGCATGAAATTCTTTCTCAAATTTCAACATTGCAAGAGGAAATAACGATGTTGCAAAATCAAGGGTCCGAAATATGCGATCGTAACACGGCTGAAATTACAAGATTAAAAAATGAAAATCGTCGGTTGAAGGAAGAGAAAGCTATAGTATGTAGAACCACTCCGGAGCGTGACACCAAAGAAGTTGATGAGTTACAACGACAATTATCATCAGTTACACATGAAGCAGCTTCCGTGAAAGCCGAGATAGAAGCAGCAAGGCTAGAAATTGAGTCATGGCGAATGAAGTTTGAGGAACTTGTAACTGAAATAAATGAATTGCGTGCTGCTGCAGATATGCGCAGAGAAGAAATAAAGAGTATAAACGACAATGAAGCAGTGGCATTAGCCGAGCTAGCAGAAATTAAAGCTATGCTCCATCAAGTTGATTCAGGGGAGCAACCACTAGGTAAAGTCATTAAACTTTTTATAATTTATTTAATTCTTATCAGTTTTATATTTCTATTTAATTTTTCAGCTAAAGGAAACTCGATATTTGCTGAGGTTGATGATAAACGACAAGAAATAGCTAAAAATATTCTTCAAATGAAACAAAGTAATACAAAGGTATATGATTCGGTTATTTATCTTTCAACTTGATGGGTCATAAGGCAGTATGTTTTGCTGCTTTAAATACCTATATTATTTAAACATATTTGAAATATGTAATGCAATAATACCATAAGGTTACAAATACAAGCCTGATTGAAAACTTGTGGCTCTTAGATATTAACATTGACAACATCTATCAAGGACAAAAATCTCCTTGTCTACCTAAAAGAAAATTACTCTGTTGCAGAATAATTAGACTTTTTGGTAAAAAAATAAATTTATTTGACATATACACATTTTTATTTATTTATTATTAATACAATCTCTTTATTTTCTTTGTTGTAATATTTTAAGTACAATACAATTAAGGAATTTTAGTTGTATATTTGACAATTCCATACGCTTAATACGCTTAGTCTAAAGAAATAGTGTTTGTGTTTTGAATACATAAGTCATTTTCAAATGAACAATCCCTTGTTAAAATTTGAACTGTCCTCACAATTTTCAGTTGCGCCAAGAGATAGCAAGCAGACAGTCAGAGATTGAGACTCTCTTGCATGAGAAGCAAACAATCTGGGAGGAGCAAGCTGGAGCCAATTCTCATTATGATAGAGAATTAATAAGTATGTTCTTAAAAATAGTAGTTTATTTTAGCTATATATAGCTCTTTTATTATATATAATAGGTTGGGGAAAAAGTTTCTTCGCATTTTTTAAGAAAATTCAAAACATTTTGTAATATAGTTTATTTACATTTAACTAAAGTATGTAGGTACCATTTTGTGCGATAACTTTTTGCCATCATTTAGGTAGGGACATGATCCCATTGCTATAGAAATTTTGGGGCATCATTAATTCATAATGAATAATGCCCTTCCAATCCCACCACACACACAGCATCACCTTGTTGCGAGTTATCCCGGGTTTCGCCACAGTCTGTGAAGCCTGACCGGCCTTTGACTACGACCTTTTTCGCACGTTCTTGTCGTACGTGATCCACTTTTCATCATCAGTTATCAGCTTCTTCAAAAATGGTTCGGTTCCATTAAGTCGTAATAAAGAATCAAAAATGAGTACATAGTTCATTAGGTTTCTTACAGTGAGCTCGTGAGGTACCCCAAATATTGAGCTTTTTTTTGTATCCAGTTTTTTCAAATTGACCACAAAAAAGTTTTTTTCAAAACTGTTTTGTGGTCAATTCCCCGTTCTTCAGCTACGTCGTAACTACTGATATGCCGATCTTGCTCCACTTTTTCAAAAATGGCATCCATTTTATCCGTCATAGAGCGACTTGGATCATTGACATCAAAATTTCCGGATTGAAAACGCTTAAACCAAATTTGTGCTACTGTCACAGACACTGCGCTAGGGCCATATTAACATCACAAATTTTTTTCGCGGCTTGTGTTGCATTTTAACCTTTTTTGTAGTAAAATTTTAAAATGTATCGAATTTCTTCATTCGATTCATTTATCTTGACGGTACGAAAAATAAATAAAAAACAGACATTATCCTAATTTGATTTTGGATTTATCTTCTTTAAAATCTCAACTTTCCTTGATAACAAAACCAGCCAGATCCATATTGTATAGCCAAAGAGATTTTATTACAAGTTCATACATACTATAATGCGAAAAGAATTTTTCCCCAACCTAATATATACAAAAAGTAACACTTAAACTTGAAAAACAATACATGTCCCATAGATAATGTATGGAGAGTTTTCTTGACATTTTCATCTCTCCTGGACGCACTGGAATTTTATGTCACAAATGGAAGAAAATAACTTGTTTCATATCTCATCATACATTTTTTACCACTCTGATACAAGTGGGTAAAATTGGACGTTCTGTAAGTCGGAAAGTTCAAAGTTATATATTTTAAGTAACTGGCTTGCAGATAGCTATGAAGATCGCATCACACAACTAGAAGCATTGTGTGAGAGACATCGACGTGAGTTGTGCCATTGGTTTGCGAAACCTGCTGATCCAACTACGCCAGGGTGGCTGCCGGAGCTGATTAATCATTGGAAGTAAGTTTAAGTTGTAAGGTTTTTATTTAAACGATTTATAATTGTGACAAATTGTAACAATACCTACGCACGTGTTTACTTATAATAATAATAGAATCTTTCAAACAATACAGACTTTGCATTTACAAAAATTCTAAGTAAATAACTTTTTATGTAGTAAGTACATATTCTTAGCATAAAATATATTTAAAATTGAATAGTTATATTATTATTAAAAATATGTTTTTGTCTGGAAAACTTAGGCAATGTTCCATAAATGTATTTGGAATTTTTAGGAAACATAGTTTTAAAATTGTAAAGAATCTGTTCAAGCTGTCAAACTGACATCGTATTTATTGACGTATATGTGACAAAATCTCCAAAAGTTCTCTTTTTCTATGATTCCGTCTTACAAAATGGCCTTAGTTTTAGTGGTCTTAACATATCGACGTAGGAAAGCACATTTGCTGTAAGTAGACATATTGCAATTGTTCACCAGAGCCAAAAAACTTTATTAATTTAGGAAAAAAATTAATAGTGTCTGACCTATCCATGATATTGCTACCATTTTTGAAACATATATTTATTTAACTGCCAGTCACCATTTGCAATGTAAACTTTTTATCCAAAGTTACTATAAGTACGTGTTTGGCTAGTTACAGCAAACAGTTTTTTAAATCACAAACCTTTAAAACGCTGTAACTAAGGAAGAAAAAATGTACGCGCGGAAATATTATCAATTTACAGGCGGTAAATATGCTGTATGCAGGAAATTTATGTATTTGGGTACTTTTAATTGCAATTCAAGATGTAAGATTAGTTTATAATTATGATTAGATCTAGAAATGCAGTGGGTCATTTGGTAATGTAATGTTTGGTTGAAATAAAATGTCGTAAATGGTAAAAAAAAACCAAAACTGTAGGTTCCCTAAACTTGCTGTAAGTAAACGAATGTAAAAATCACACGCCGCTGAAATGCTGTAAGTAGCGTTAAGTTTTTAAATGGGAAGAAGTAAGTATTTGTAATGAAAAAAATGCAGATTTTCTTTTGCTGTAAGTGCGAAATGTCTGAAATGACTAGATTTTGGTCTACATACAGCATTTAATCTTGCTAAAAATAATATAAGTACGGGCGTTTTCAACGGCGTATGTAATTTTTTTTTCATCGTAGAGACACAGGACCCAGGTCATTCGATGCGGCTTTTTTTTCTGATTCTAATGGCAGGAAAAAGTCACTTTAGGTATTTTGTCTACTTACAGCAAATATGCTTTCCTACGTCGATATACATATATCTTAATTAAAAATTTGCTTTGGAGTAAATTAGTAATTTTTATTACCATTTTTTAACTAAGAATTTTCTACCTCGTTTACTACGCATTGCCCAAAATACGCAAGCAACTGTGTTGGTAAAAAATTACAGGCGTTTTCTAAGCTTATGTATAAATTACCTTTTTTTCTTAAATAAATAGTATCCACTAAATCTCTTTATCACAATCATCTCTAAGAAAGAGATTGATGGTTTTCTTTTAGAGACAGCTAGGTGATCTGCCTTCCGCATCTAACGTTCCCTCACAACGTTATACCATCATACAACGTGTTAATAAAACATATTTTTAAATAAAATTTTGATATTTTTAGGTCAGAATGCGAACTACTTCGTGGCGAGTTAATGGCTCAAACCCCAGCCAGGATATCCAGCACAGGTCTCATCAAAGAGCTTAGAAGAAAAGTAGCTCTTTTAACATCAACACAGAAGCAGTCGCCCCAAAATGACAATGACAAGAGCGAAGTTTCAATATACAGAGTGCCGGCTAAAGAAATTAAGAAGTCGGATGTCAAAAAGAAAGTGGCGTTTACCTAATGGCTAGTCAAATTAAAAAAAAAACATGTACTTTTCGTTTTTTCGTACTTTTATCTGCATTTAAAAAATTAAAAATAATTTATAAGAACAATTATATATATTAGTGCCAAATTAGTATTTTTTTATAATTTCTTAATAAACTGTGATAAATGAATTCTATATTGGACTTTTACTATTCCCTAACAATCCAAAGAATGTTAGTTATGTTACTACTGCACAAAAACACATTTTATTTCGGGAGGAGATTTTAGAATCTTTAGAAGGGATGCCCTTTGCTCTGTATAAACTCTGTTAATTTGGTGGTTATTTGCGATTTCATTAGTAGGTTCAATTATTATCTCTACTTTTGGACGCGTGGTTTCTTAATTATGGTAAACTAAAGATTACAACTAGAGAAAAATAATTTATTCAGCACTTAAAAGTTTATTCTGTTCTGAGCACTATTATTGATGTACAACATAGATAATATTACAGTAATGTGTACGGAGGAGTACTTTTACTGGGCGTTAGAAAAGACATTTTACACACGACAACGCTTTCCTAACGCGATTTCAAGTGTCTAGGGAACTTGCGAAATGTAGTCTTGAACTGACAAGGAGGATATAGAAAAGCACGGCAATCAGTAAACAAGTAACAAACACATTTATAAAGTTATTCTGGTAAGAGTCGATTGGCCATGGCATCGACGGAAATTGAAAAGACATAGCAAGCCAAATTCGATGGGATAAAACGAAAACAACGACTAAACATGACAACACGGCCAATCGAGTCCCAAGAAAGCCAATACCTAGGTATATATTTAGACCTAGTTTAGTTTCAGCCATTATAAAATTTGTATGGCAATTTATAAAATTACAGGGACATAACAAAAATATTTGTTTTTATTTGACGATTTTAATACTCCTTGAAAAGTACTAGATGATATATGTGTTAAAAGTATTTCACCGGTACTAATAATGGTTGTTAGAGTGGGTTTAGATCTTCTGGGACAATTAGTTCCTAGATATCGTAGTGTAGTGTGACATAGGTTCTTTTTCAACGTTTTTCTAACGTCTGAACTATCTAACCGTCCGACCCTTACTGTCTTCACACCAAGATCGCTTGATACTCTTTTTTGTTTTAAATTATGTAAATCGAATGTCATCGTTCATAATTAGGAGAATCTCCGTGAGCTCCCGAGAGTTCCTTAAGAGCGTGTACCCTTGCATGTGCCACGTGACGCGAGCGTCGCTCTTGATCGCGTGCATCGCGTTCGGTACGTGCACGCAAGCGGTCTGCGCCTGCTTCTTGCACGCATTGAGTGAAGGCACCTGATAACACAGTTTAAAACTTGAAATAAAACTTTTTTAACAGATAAAATTTCTCGTTTCGATTACTTTTTAGCAATCCTGATCAGCGATAGATAGCCGATATACCAAAAAGTCTAATAATAATAACAAATAGAGTGTAGAGATAGTCATGGTATTTAAGGTAGCTGCAGTGCTAAATTCCCTTTTTTATTTTCACAACACTACGTGATTATAGTTCAATTGAAACATCTTTATACTTTATATGATTTTTTTAAAAATAATTATAGTGAATAATTGAATAGCATAGCTGAAGTTTATTAGTTCGGATAAATACCGTCGTATTTCTCAGCACGAGTTAAATACACAGTTTTAGGTCTCTCATTCTAGTAATTTGTGATTTTTTAAATTAGAGACTAATAAAATTATTAAAAAACTAACCGACAGCATCCCAACACTCCGCTGCTTCAGATGGGGAACTTGTACTGTTGTAGCAGTCAATAACAATTTGTTTGTAATCAGCGCATACTGGCTCAACGCTAACCATATTAGCTGTACGCATTTCTATACGATTCGTCATTGCTTTTACTTCGTCCACGGTTATCCTAAAATAAATTGGTAAAATAAAATCGACAATAATAAAAAGTAAACATAATAATTGTTCTTATGTGAAGCTATGCGTGGAAGTCGTAAACGTTATTCTCCTGATATACAGTTGACTCTCGATAATTTGAAAGTTGATCAAAATTAAATTGAAGAGTTTCATCAAAATTAGTGATTTATTATTACGAAACAATTATTGGTAAATTTTTATTTCGAAAAGAAGTCCGTAAACTTGTGAGCGGTTCTGTTTATTATTGTCCAAATAATTTTCGATACTAAGACTTTTCCTTGCCCCACCTAATACGACTGGGATTGATGGTTCTTCTTCTTCGTTATGGCGTGTGTACAGTGGATGATAACCGCTTCAAATTATAGACGGTATGGAAGCCCAAACGTCTAATTATCGCATGTTGACGAGCTATTCCTTCGACTTCAAATTACGGATGGGACCAATTAACATTGTTTTTATGTTCAAAGAACTGGAAGGTTTCAAATTATCGATAGTCGCCTAAAGTTTATTCGGTTAAAATTGTAAGTCAGGAACTAGAAATATGATGCTCATTTTGTAGTTAATTTTATTGCTTTCAAACCCTTTAAGTTTAAAAATAACAATAAGCAGTGGTGTTGGTCTAGTGGCTTCAGCGTGCGACTCTCATCTCTGGGGACTCGCATTTAGTATTCGCTCAAACGGTGAGGATTCCGGCCTATCTTAGAGCCAAAAAGTCGAAGGCGTGTGTCAGGCACAGGAGGCTAATTACCTACTTGTCTTTTGGATTGACAAATGGCCCAGAACTAAAAAGGTTGTTTGCGGCACTGATTTATTTTTAATTTATTGATAATTGTAAAAGGACATTCACACGAAATACGTTTGGAGTGTGATATAAATTAAACATAATTATCGAATAAAATAAATGCATTGTCACCTGAGCTATGACAAGGGCCAATTAATTATTAATATTCAAGTCTTGGGACACGTAATTTCCTACCACTATTTTTACCAACTACTCAGCTATAAGGTAAAACGATGAACAGCCAATATTAAATTGTTGTTTTTGTTTGCGATATGGTACAAGTTTTTACTAAACTATAAATATAAATGGTATCTCAATAACCATCGTATATCTTGATCCGGGTTCGATACACGTTGGTAATTGGCTGACTTGACAACGTGTATTGTTTATAGTAGTTAACGATAAAGTCCAGGAAACATGTTTAATATGTCTGTTCGTTAATTTAAATCTTCGATTATACTATAGAAAAATACGTGCGACGTGCTATCACAATATTATGGGATTGGATGGCTATGGCATTAGCTCAGATTTGGTCACGTGGCCATATGCTAATTTGGTTTGGTGTCATTTGCAATTTCTCTCTAAAGGCAAGCTACCTTGCTTGATTATAGTCAAGGCCTATATCTTGCCTGTATAAATAACCTAGACAGTTAAACTAAAATACTAAAAGACCTATAAATATTCTATCTATTAATTTTCCTTACTTTTTGAAGTGAAACTTCTAATGCGACTTTCAACAAGGTTGCGTTAAACGGTTAACGCTCATGGGGAAGGAAAATAGAAAGACACAGAGCGAGAGTGGATGCTTCTTTTTTTCATTTCCACATTACGAAGTTTCTAGGACTCCACGCACTATTTTTTATGTTAAAATTTAAATCTATAAATGTCACAACGCATCAACAGATAACATCTTTTATTTATATTTAAGTCGGTTAAAAATAGTTATCCTTATTAAACAAAGTCACAGGAATCAGCCAGTTATAAAAACCGCGTGCGCATTATTTCCTTCATAAAAACACATAATTGCAATGATAATGTTATTTAGTACCTATCCATTGAATTTTTCAATTACGTGATAAACCGAAAGCGGAAGAATCCGGCAGCGTATTTTAATGAATTTTTATCGGGAACTTTAATGCCTTCCTTGAAATTAGTCAAACGTGTAATATAATTTCCTTTAGACTATCTCTGATATTTATAACTATGTGTACTGTAAAAATATTTGGGCCCGCACAAGTCGTTCTTAAGGCTACCTAAGGGGTCCAGTCTAGGTGACTAGAGTTTTGCATTTGTTTCGCAGTGTTTTTGGTTTCCGAATCTCATAAATCATCGACCTAACACTGTTTTTAACGAAAGTGTAATTGCCATTTCTCGACACGAATCTGTATCGTACCCTTCGTACCAAGTGTTTAACAAGTTTTCAAAGCCTGCAACTATTTTAGCGAATGAATAAACAAATAAAATAAAAATTTCAGTAGCGCTACAACCTTTTTAGTTCTGGGCCTCAGATTTCTGTTTCTGTTTCATGATCATTTGTTAAAAGGCAAGTAGGTGATCAGCCTCTTGACAAAAGTCGTCGACTTTTTAGATCTCAGTCGTTTTCCTCACGATGTTTTTCTTCACCGTTCGAGCGAAAGTTAAATGCACTCATAGAAAGAAAGTCCATTGGTGCACAGCCGGGAATCGAACCTACGACCTCAGGGATTCGCACGTTGCAGCTACAAGGTAAGACTGAATTAATTAACGATACCCTAATTTAAATTAAAATGTATCATAAGAAGTAAAATAGTAATGATAAAAGATAATCTTAAAAGCGAAGATTCATCTTCACTGTAAATATATTTATGCTAATTTACATTAAGACTCAAAAAATTGAAAACGAATTCTAGGGAATCAGGTTATATCATTTACAGATATATAACTTTGAATTAAATAGACGCAAAACGATGATCACGTTTAATTCTTTTATTTACGTCTTTTAATGATTATGCGCAGGTCCGTATTGATCAAGAATGTAAATTATAGACACCATCTTATTTTATTCATAATAAAGTCTGTATAATAATTTAATTGCTTGTTTAAATTCTGTTATAGGTGTAATATTAATTTTGAAGTATGTGATCTGCAGGGCTATTCTTACTTTGCTAATATTAAATAGCTTTAGTTATATATATAACTGAGCCAAGTTCTAGTTAGTTGAATTAGTAAATCTTTATATGTACATATATGTCTCGTATCATATGCATGTGCGCCGTACTAAAATATAAACTAAGATTTTTTTTTTATAATTAATTAAATGTTAACAACATTTATAGCGCCATTTATATTCATATGTTATTCCGTTGTTCACATTATAATTTGTATATATTGTATAATAAGTCCATTCTCAACCAACAAAAGATCACCATAACTATCATTTACAAACGGGTGCTTAGCAACTTTTGGTCCGAGAGCTGGCACCAATTTTTGGGCAGGTATTTGAGGCAAGCTGAAAACTTGTCACATACCTCTCCTATTATATTCCAACACGGAATTGCAGACCTGGCTGGTGAGTAGCGGGGCTAAATCAACCCCTACATTTTTAAAAATATTAATTTTTTTTCCCCAAAAATATATTTGAGGCAATACGCAATTTATATATGTCGCAGTGTAATACTTAATAAATACGAAAAAAAATAAGCCAGACGATTTAATCGGGGCTGTAACATTACCAGACGCGTGCAAAAAATTTTTGCAAAAAATTATAAAAATGTTTTTGAGGCAGCTTGAAATTTTAATGGAGTGTTATTTATAACTATAAAATAAGATTCCCAAAAAGACAGATCATTTCGGTAGGGCTTTCAACCTGCCAGGTGATCAAACAAATAATGGATGGGTACGGGCCTGTACTACTATAGACAAGCTGTAGTGTGAGAGAGAGCGCATATCGACAGCTGTCTTCGTTCGGAGAGGTATGTGACAAGTTTTCAGCTTGCCTCAAATACCTGCCCAAAAATTGGTGCCAGCTCTCCTACTATTTGGTCATATTGCCAGGAGAGAACCGAATAGTCTCGACAAGCTTGTAATGGTAGGGCGGACTGATGGCAGGATAAACTGAGACAAGGTGAGGATGGAGTGGCAGCAAGTCGACGTATCGGTTAGGGCTTTTCAAGACAGCCACGGCCTTCAGTACTGAAGAAGAAGAAGATAAACCATGAGACATACCCAAGCCGTTCTGAATGCGTGTCATCCAGACACTTGAGTTTTTCTATATAAATCTTTTCTTTAAAATCACCAAAGGTAGAATTTGGACTTGTAGGGTGCGCAGATCCATTCAGTGTCGCATCTTCTACTAAACGTTCTACCTGTAGGTAATAAAAATAGTCTGATACAATACATAATATAAATGTGTGATTTTGTTCTTTGCTTTTCATTTAAATGTCTTTCAAGTGTCTACTTTAATTTGTTAAGTAATTTTCCAATATTGCAAGAAAGTCCTTTAATGAGATTTAATTAATTTATTTAATTGTCTGTGTTTAACTAGATATTCTGGGGGTTTTTAGGAGGTACACATATTTGGGGCTTCTTAGGGGATACTTTATAGATGTTTTTCTTTTCTTGAAAAACGCACGATTCTATACAATTTTTAGCCTAGTACCTAACCAACAAACTAACTATTACTAAAATATCAAAATGCATGATCGAAATTTTATATTATTTTATGCTACTTGAATGTATTTTTGATGCATATTTGTATAAATAACCTCTGAAAACTAGTGTACAACAAAAACTTTGGGGTTTTTTTAATCGATATTTAGGGGTATATGAAGTTGGTTTTAGGGGGAATATTTTGTAGTAGTTGGCTTCACTGATTTATGCTCGTTTTATGGTACACTCCACACGCAGTGTGCGACGCCTAATTCTAAATTCCGTACGCAAAAAATTTGGAAATTTGAATCTCATCATAGGTAACATAAAGAAAGTTTTGAAAAATGAATAGACTGAAGAAGGAAATCTTATTCATACCATTTTATTTGAAATGCTGATTCGGTTATCATCTAACTCCTCTTCATCAACCTTCGGTGGTTGTGGATTTGGAGGACGTTGGAAGTGCGTGGCTCTGGTAGACTGATTACTTCCCATATTAATAACTGGTGAATTTTCTGCAATACAGTTCAGTTAAACATCTTGGGTTTTTGTTAAAGGTCAGTCAAATGTTGTGAGGAAGGATACCTACATCAACACTTTGTTATTAATGTTTTTTTATGTAATAGGAGGCAAACGGGCAGGAGGCTCATCTCATGTTAAGTGATACCGCTGCCCATGGACACTCAGATTGCCAGAAAGCTCGCAAGTGCCTTTCCTTGAAGGACCTTAAGTCGAATTTGTTTGGGAATACTTCAGTGGGTAGCTGGTTCCACATAGTGGTGGTGCGTGGCAAAAACTGCCTTAAGGAATGCTCGTGGTTCTGGAATGACAGACGTCGAGGTGATGACGGATGGTATTTTGTATTCTCCCATGTCGTCCGATAATGACACACAGCTGCAAGTATTAGTCCGAATAACTCCTCTGAAAACTCTCCATAGTAAATGCGGTTAATTAATTACCAGATTTTTAATACATATTTTTGTAATTCTCTTATACGTAGCCGAACTAGCCAAAAGGCATTCATTATTATTAAACTTTTTTTTAAACTATTAAATTAATGTAACAGTCTGACTCAGAATATTTTTTTTTTAGAATTTTTAATGCATCTCGGCATGTAACTTGCCAGATTATTTAGGTGAACAAATCTTTTAATAGTCTAAGGATGAGATTTAAACAGATATATATACGTTTGTGACACAGGTAAGTTACTTAGCACTATGTTTAAACTCTGAACTTTGTTCTAATGAGGCTTGCAAGCGAGAGCTTTTTAACGTTGGACGTTGCCCTTCTAAGTTTTGATATCGTTTGATGCATAAACGTAACAAAGGATACAATAAATGAATAATACACCAAGCGGAGAAAATCTTTATAATTGTTACGGAAATCAATGCTAAGCATCAACTAATCATTAGCTAGGGTGAAGTTACGTCTGCTTTTTAACCTTGAACTTTAAGTGCTTGCGGTGAGTAGCGATGTTGGCATTGCGTGGAATTTAATTTACATAAATTTAATACCGGAACAAGAGAAATGTTGTGGCAATGATTTGAAAATATATATGTATGACTTTTTTGTTAACTAAGATGGTAACGTATCCCTTGCATGTAATACTTAGGTATGTAGGCCTCATACAGAGGGCTTGCGAGTGCGTTGCCGGCCATTTAAGAATTGGTACGCTCTTTTCTTGAAAGAGGGAAGGGTTCGGAAATACTACAGTGGGCAGCTAGTCCCACATAGTGATGGTGCGCTGCAAAAACTGCCCTAAAAACGGGTGGAATTTCGTATTCTTCCTGGACGTCCGACCATGAAACTCAGCTGCAGGTATTAATCCGAACAACTCCTCTGAACATTTTCCATTGTAAATGCGGTCTACCGCATTCTAAGATGCACAGGGACCCCACATCTCTACGCAACGCCTAGGGATCAAGCCGCTCGGAGAGGGATTGTTCGTTGACGATTCGAACGGCTCTTCATGAAGTGATTGAAATGAGTGCCTACATTCTGCTATACCGAACCGAATCCTTGATTACTTTAAGTATTCTCTTTCAAGCATATCCTAAGATTTAGTTTGGAAATAATTTATCACAAGAGATTTAGTTTGGAGTAAAGGATGTAGTTGAAGTTTTTCAACTATAGGTAGTATACTACACATTAAACTCTAAAGCATTTTATAATTTTTTATACTTACTTTTCTTGGATTGCCTAGAAGATAGCTAGCGTTAAACAGTTTAAAAATAATTAAGTTTTAATTTTTTAAATTATTTTATGTTTATAAAATAAGTTACTAGATAACATTTCATCTTAATATACAAATAAATAGTTTTTAAACATTGCCAAAACTATTCATGAATTATCCTAATCTATGTATTTATCTAAAGGCTCTATGGGTTTTTACCATTGTATATATTTAAAATTCAATCGTGTAATCCGAAACCGTGAAATGGATTTAAATATTTAGTAACAAGAGTTTATGCATGGTATCTTCAATAAATCAACGCAGCTAAACTCTAAATTGTTTAATTTTTATTACAAGATCGTTATTCAATTTTTTTTTCTGTGAACAGAATCGTTGTTTTTATGCAAAACAGTAACATGCACATGGACATCTCTGGTATAATAAGGGGGTTTGCAAAAAGTATTAGAAAAAGAGTATATTTAACTTAAACGAAATATAATACATATTCAGGAAACTAGCCAACGTCTCGTAACTACCAGCTTTTTTAAATTGTAAAAAAAGCTTAGGTTTTCTCAGTTTGTTAAATTAACAGTACGTAGTTTAATAGGCATTAAGTATTCATATAACACAAGATAAAAATAAACTGTGTCGAAGTTTGAGGCCCAATGCTGTGCCGTGACTTCGTAAAATTTTGCAAGACGCAATTTTTTTTAGTAGAATGCGAGAGTTACTCGGTAGCCTCTTTAACGCGGCCCTGTAGGAACTACCCTAAGTGATTGCCCTGTCTCTGAACAGCAAATATCCTGGTGTGGCCAAGCCCCACCTCTCCAACTTTCGGGATCACGGGGTGCACAAATGGCAACCTCGGATGTAAAAAAGGGAATATGTACAAAAAATACCATAGCTACTTTTGAAGTTTTGATTATTTATGCTACGTACCGATCGTATGCTATTTACCCATTAGACCTTCAATGATTAGCGGATGTTTAAATAATCAAATTTGTAATATTTGGCTAAACCCAACTCAGAACATTCCGATCTAGTTGTTACGATTTATTAGTTGGTTTTGACTTCACTTAAAATAAGTAAATTTGTAAATTCCTGTATGATTCATTAAGCGATCAACTGACGAGTCATTGCAGGTCCTTACTCACGATTCCTATGTTTGATCAGAGTACTGTCACCACAGGATATAGTTTCTCAAAATCTGTGATTGGTAAATCAAATTGTCATTGGTGTATATGTCGTATTAAGACTACGAACTATTTTAATTTTATATACATTAATATTTTCTAATACATATATAAAATTCTCGTGTCATAATGTTCGTTCCCATATTCCTCCGAAACGGCTCGACTGATTCTTATGAAATTTTTAAAGCATATTCAGTAAGTCTGAGAATCGACTACTATCTATTTTTCAAATCCCTAAGTGATAAGGGGTGTCCACCTCAAACTATTTTTTTTAATATTTTAGACAATATATTTTGTTTTTATTTTTTTATGATACAGCATACTAAAACACACAACCTTTAATTTTTATCTACCCTCTACGATCAACGACTATTTTTTATTATTGTAGATAGATATTTTATTGAACTAAAAAAATGTTTCCTAGAAATAATATACATGGCAACACAAACGTTTGCCAGCTCATCTAGTAATGATAAATAAATAAACATGAATGATAATTTTAATTCTATTGCTGATTCAATTTTAATAATTTTCAACGTAATTCAATTAAAATTATGAAGTAATTCAGTAAAAATGTATTCTTAAAAATAATTCTAAGGTGACGTGTCGCAAAATAAGCACAAGGATACTTTACATAAAATATTATGAAATGTGTCTTCCGCGACGAAAAACCCTCAAAACCAGTATAAAGGCCAAAAGGAAACTCAAGAAAAATAGTATTATTTCCTAATAAATTCTCTGATTTTATTTTATTCAATATTATTAAACACAGACAAATACCACTCAAAATCAGTTCAGTGGTTCCAGTGCTGTTTTACATTCTCCTCATATTAATTGTATATCTTTAAATAATACCAAAAATTTAGTATATAGAAGATATTGGTTGATTGATATTAAATAATTATTTTAACGATATATTTAAATAATAAAATGCGGATAGATCGCAAATATAATTAAATACAAGCTAAGAATTTGAAAGCTTTGGATATAATATTGATTATCTATTAATAGTATGGGACCATATCTCTACTTTCGTCTGCGACATCTGGCCAAGGTTATTACTAGCTTCTAGAATAGCGTCGAATTTAATAAATGACGAAACAATATTATTTATTAAAAATACTATCCGAACATTAAGACGCAAAATATTTGTTATATTTTGCGTCGTTTTGGTTCATACAAATATACAGGCTACCTTTTTACGCGTAAAAAGTCCAGAAAGCTCACTTGTTATTGAATTAAAAAAACAACATATAACATACAACATTCCCGACTTTACAGGAAAACAACTTGACAACTCCATAGTAGACATAAATGTGTAACATACATTGATTATTCAATGGAAAACATCTTGAATCATACATAGAAATTCGTCGATGTAAATGTCACAGAGGTCAAGAGTCGTGTAGATGAACAAGTTTCGCGTTTGGTCACTGCGGGGCGGGGGATGACGTCATTGGAGGCTGTGTTATATAGAAGATGCGCAGGCGAACACCTTACTGTTTTGACTAGTGTTTTGTGTGTGCGTACAGATATCAAAATGCTGAAATTCGGAACATTTTTAACTTTCGCTGTAAGTGTTATTTCTTAAGTTTATTGTTTGATAATTATTTGACCAAAATAAAAGTTGAATTAATCAACTAAACAAATCAATACGCCATTAATTAAAATTATCATTATGTTTTTGTTCCATACTTCAAACTAAGACAAGGGACTCTCCTTATATATTTAAACACATATACTACTATATTATAACGTTAGTTACCTAAGTCGTCTTCAATGACCTTATGAACGTCATAAATGTTCAATTGTAAAATGTGTACTTGTTAGTGTAAACAACATATTAAGTTCCTCTGTACCTCATGGAGACATAAATCTTATTTTTCTTAAATTTTGTTTAAATTAACCTTTGTAGGAGAGACTTTATACGTAAGTTTGCTTAGTTTGGACTCCATAATTAATCTTTGAATTTAATTAATATTTTTTCTTAAGTAAAAATTAATTTCGATATTATACAAGAAATTGCAGATATAAATTATGTTTTCAAACATGCAGGTTTCTATATAATTTTAAAGTTTTGGTATGTTTGTATTTCTGCGTGGTCCAAACCCTGTGTTTTATTAAATAATGAATAATATAAAACTACTGTCTATTTAAAGGCAGTATTAGAGGAACTCAACCCAAAACTTCTATATATCCGACTGTTACTAGGATATGCCCTAAAATTTAGCTATATTCTTACAAGTTAAATATTAATAAGAAAGTATTATGTCTTCATTAGTTATCCAATGGTAATTTGCGCTGATAAAGAATATAATTTGTTAACAAAATACAATAAAACTTGACTTTAGATTTGAACTTTTGGATTTTGAAATCGGAGCTACACTTAGTCCCATATTTCAACGATTAATACAATAGATGAATTGAAAAGTATAAAAAATACTCACAAAATAATCGAAGATAACTAAACACAATAATTTACGTTTTCACTAAACATTTTAGGTTTAAATAAATATTATTGACAGGAATTTGAAGATATCTTTTGGCAGAAATTTAGTGTGATTTTCTTGCATAGACAAACTATAGAATTATTAAATAGTTTATCTTTGAAAAAGACTGAGGCATGGTCTGTATTTTTAGTACTATACTGCTATTATTACTTCGAGAGGGAAGCATAAATTGGGAATCCAAGATATATCCTTTGATGATCTGCGTTGGGTATCAAAACTGATATAGATTGGTGTTTATTGAAATAATTAATTAATTTAAATTATTAAATATAAATTAATAAATGTCATTGTTCGTACTTCATAAAGCAAAAGCTTCGAATTTATTCCTTTTTTTAGTAGAATATTCTTATTGTCTAAGGAATTGCTTTTTTACTTGCTAACGGGTTCTTAAACAAGTTCACGTAGCATTACCAAGAGTAAAACTTAATTTTAACCCAAACATGATGAATAAGTAGTTAGCAACAATCCTTTGCTGTTTGTGAGACCCATTTAATTAAATTTTTTCAAATATCTGTGACCAGATCTTAAGATTTTTAATCTACACCGTGAAAATTACATTTTCGATTGCGACGTGTGTGTGTCAAAAACATTTAATTCTCGTATCACCATCACAAACTCTGGAGCACCTCCATTTTTATAAACCTTTTACATAAAATCATGAAATAAAACCTTTTAATATTTTAATTATTTGTGAGGTTTTGCTGATAATACATATATCTATGCCACGGCAAAAATAGTTTCTGGGACTATATTATAGTTCAAAGGGAAATGTCAGATTTGTTGTTGTTGTTGTCAATTGAAAATGATTGTCTAGATAGTAGATATCCTAGCTCGTTATGTACTAGAATTAAGTACTGTTATGCAGGTCCTGCAAGCAAGTCTGCAATTCCTAATTCGACAATACTTGAGCGTCCTTGACCACAAAATTTTTGAGGACCGAATTCGGACTTGTCTCAATTTTCACAGAATTCACGTGAATAATACGGATCGCTTCTGACGTTTCATTAGTGCGGTCAGCGTGACTACAGATATATTTCATAATTTCTAGTGGGATGACCCGGCTTCGAACAGCTGGAGATTTATTTGTTATGCAAATATTTTGGAAATGTATATATCTCACAATTGTAGCACAGTATATGAGTTTATATGTTACGAACATACAAAAATCTTTCTTCGTAGAGGAACCGCTTGATTATAGACTTCACCAATTTAGTTTCTTAGCTCAGTTCACAAAATATTCTCATCGCTTGTCTTAAATAATTGACGCACGCAAACTGTTTCTAGAGGCAATTCTTTTGCTACGAACCTTATAATCAAGTATGGATTTATACAGATAATTACTGCGATGGGTGAATACTGATATAAATATAGCAAAAAAATATGATCTAAGACTAAGTTCAATCAAATTTAAATAGTAGCATATAAGTGTGTGAATTAATTCGCTTGAAATTAAATACAATAAACGCGGCTAATTCCACGCACTTAAGATTTCTAATGAAAAGATTTTAATACTACAAAAAAATTTATACAAATATATATAAAACTAAAAAAAATATATAAACTCTCAAACAAACATATACGAGTACGTATGCACAGTCACACCAATATTTATTCATAACAATTTATTAGTCCTTATTATACATTAGGTATTGTAATTTTACATAAGCTGTTGGCTACCTAAGAAAAAATAAAATAAAGCTATTAATGGCAATTGTTTTTTGATTGATAAAATTTTAAAATACACGGTCGTTTTTGTTAGTTTTCCCCGAAGGTCATCGTGACCGGTTTCATACATCTTTTGACCTAAAGCTTTTTTACAATCCAATAATTAAACTAGATATAACATGTTTTTGTTCCTAATATATTATAACTTATTAGCCGAGCAGTGTTGGCCTGTTGGCGTGCGACTCTCGTCCCTGAGGTCGTGGGTTTGATCCCCGGATCCCACCAATGGGCTTACTTTCTATGTGCACATTTTACATTCACTCGAACGGTGAAGAAAAACAACGTGAGGAAATCGGCTTGCCTTAGACCCCAAAAGTCGACGGCGTGTTTTAGGCACACTTATATATTAGATTGAGAAATCATGAAACAGATACAGAAATCTGAGGCCCAGACCTAAAAAGGTTGTAGAGCCACTGGTTTTCTTATTTATAACTTAAAAACTACAAGAGGATAAGTAAAAATGCATCATCATTCAGGACGCAATGGTGAACGGGTCACGAATTATAATCTAAAAATGTAAAGAAAATATTTATTTATAAACATGGACGGATCTGATGCAGTCTTTCTAGCAATCCAATATGGATTCTTTGATACGTTGTTTACACTGTCAAACGTCTTCCGAATTGCCTTCATTTCTCTGACGTTCTTTTAGCCATAATACTACCTAATAAGCTTATACAGGCTTCTTTTATCTTTATATTATGTATAAGGATGCATGTTGTGTTGTTCCAAAAACATCTATTGCAACTTATTAAATCAACTACTAAAATTCTATATTTTTTACGTAGCCCTGCAGGGCAATAGTACTTAAAAAAGGATTGATCTAGTACATTAATAAGTAATGTTACAAATCCAAGCATTCATAACTGCTTTTTCGAAAAAAAAAAAAAAAAAACAAAAGATTATGGTGTATCAAGGCATTAAAATATCAAATTTGGGTCTGACAGTAATTGCTTTGAAATTTAGTAAGCTAATTTCTCTGGCTGTCACGGACAATCCCTCTGACATTTTAAAACCCATAAATTTTCGAAGTATTAATATGAAAAGCACTAAACAAAGTAAAATCTTTTAGGGTTTATCTCTGCTCGATTTTTAAAAAATAATTAGCTTGATTTTGTCGTGTACTGCTGTGAAGAAGTCCTTTTAATTACGTAGATAGAGGGTCGCATGTGTTATTTGATATATTTGACATAATGTCTTAATACTGTTGATATATTTTGTCGAAGACACTTAATTTGAAATGCTTTGATATGAATATGTTATTGTATATTATTATACAATGACGTAATACTAAGATAAGTTTTAACACGTCAAACGCATGGTCATCATTAATTATTATAACCTAATCTGACATTTGCAATACTGCGTATGACAACACTATTTTTCGGGCAACGAGCAACCCTATTTACATAGTCGTGTGAATTAAATTAGATCCGCGATCGAAATATCGGTGACAAGGTTTCGTGACCAACGTATAAGCGTTTAAAACAGATCCCATGAATAATTCACTAAGGGATGAATCAGACATAGACTTGTTGGATGAAGAAGTGGACAGCAGTTTTTAACAGATTTAATACTTCAATTGATTATCCTATTTAGTGGCAGTGGCAATGCGACACGAGCCTCAGTATACTAGTATGGAGTCCCATTAAATGGCACAGGCACTTCTCTGCCTCGGTTTCTGCCTTCTATAGTTGACAGATTTTATCGATAATGATGTTTTAGATCTTCCATAATAGAAAGAATGTATGTATGTAATAAAAGATGAAGGTAGTTCAGAAAAAAATTCAATATACCTAATTATAGTTATATAATATAACTAAAGAATTAGTGGTTTATGTGCAATTGATACAACACTAGTAATTGTGCATCACTAACAGTGTAAGTAATATAATTTGAGTTGAGAAACTATTATTATATTCTAAAACAAACACAGAGTTACACCGATGCGTGTACGTATGTTACACTACCCACGGCTGGTTTTTATTGATTTAGTTTCAAGACAATCTACATATATTTGAAAACATTCAAATCAACCTGCCTGTTTACGAAGTTTCCCTTCACTTCACGCGTGGTTTCTACTCTTTAGAATTGTACATTTAACTATTAAGCCAACCCTATATCCATTTTAGAAAATCTGTTTCAAACCAATCACTATGAGATTATACACGAGAAATTAATTATTAACGTAACAATAGCTACAAAATTATGCGAAAACGTAATCCGGTAAAACATGAATGTGTTATTAACTATGCAAACAGTATTCATGCGCCCGCGTCTTCAGGTTTGTATGTCAATATTTGTCTAAGAGCTAATCACTAAAATGGAGGTTTTATTTTATTTTTTCTTAACTAAATTATTAGCATTTTAAAGAACTTGTTATGCTAAGAAGTATATGGGACCTTTTATTGTAATTATTTTTTTCAGAAAAGTTATAATATATTGAAAAGGCAATAAAAAATATAATTTATCACGGACATTTGAATTGCCCCGCTTATGTTAATAAATTTCGCTGAGGGAGTCTGTTATATGAGATTTAATAAAAAAGTCATAATTTATTTTAATTCAAATTTTAGTGCTTTTGGATAAAACCTAAATTGTACTTAAACATCGTTTCATCAATATTTTTTCACAAAATTGAGTTCGTTTTTAAGAGTAAGTAAGGAGTGTCTTGCCAATTTTTCTCCATATGAAACTACCTTTTGGAAGACTGACTTCATGCCTCTAAATTGCAAAAATATCAGTTAGGTTAAATGTTTTCGGTGCAGTTTATTAAAAACCACAGTGGCGCTATGAAACTAGATGTCTTGGCCTCAGATTTCTGTACCTGTTTCGCGATAATTTTTGTTTATTAATAGGTAGTGCCTAGTGAAATATTGGAACTGCCTTTAAACAGATTCAAAACACACATCAAAAAAACCTTAATGTGTAAAGGTTACTACACAGTCAATGACTACCTGGAAGATAAAAACGCTTGGCAATAGTTCTAATTATATTCTTATAATTTGATTTGTTATCTTTGAAGTGTTATGAATATGTGTGTAATGGTGAATGTGGTAAATCACAGAACAGATTTTTTATTTTTTTTTTACTTATGTAATTTTAATGACGTTGTGGTTTATGACATTTTCCTTTGAATAATTGTAATATAGAGGGAGGGCAAACTTGCTGAGTTTCTTGCCCGTTCTTCTCAGAACAAGGCCTCCTGGTAGTTTTGCGAACGGATGGCGTAGTCTTGCTCTTTCGCGAATTTTGTAAACGTTGTTGACATTCATAAGCATGCTCTAAGAAGCATCTAAATTGAATAAACGTATTTTGATTTGATTTGATTTGATTTGGTAAGGTGATCGGCCTTCTGTGCCTGACACACGTCATCGATGTTTGGTTATAAGGCCCCTTCCTCACATGGTTAGCTTTACAAAATAACAAGATGGTTTGAAGAGATACAAGAATAATATAATTGAATGAAGATTATGATTTATACCGTTTTATACTGAATCGCAAAATGTAACTTAACATTTAAAACGCTCTTGGGCTAAAATTTTATTTGTTTGCTGTGTACATGGCCAACGCTGTATTATTTTATGGACATTATTTTAGAATTGTCTCATCATTGTAATTATTACTGAATACTGAAAATCGTTTAGTATAGGCTTCGTCTTAAAAAAAAACTTCAACTTTTTAGGTAATGGAATATATGTATAGCGCTTTGTAGCATAGTAGCATTTATATGTCTCTTATGCTGTTTATGTGGAAGATTGTTTAAGTTATTAAAGTAAATAACAATGATAGTAGTAGTTATTGTGTCCTTTAGTATCTAATTTACTGGTTTCCGAATATTTTAAATACTCTTTTCTATAAAATCCTATATTTAAAAGTAGAGAATTGCATAATTTATCAATAAAGTGTTTTAGGATTAAACAGGTTTCAAATCCTGAAGTCCTGTCTAATTTATTTCTGTAATTCAAAGGTTATTCACCTTGATTTTGCGATAACTGGGGGGTCCGGTTGCGTAGGAAGAGATTTTACAAGGCGTTGTGTTTTAAGTAGTTAAAAACCGACGATTGTTTTTCACACTTATAAGAAAAAACCCTAAAATATATAATTCAAATCCTCGAAACAGAAATAATTTTTTTGGGAAAAAAACTGTGGATTAAAATGGTGGTTTCATTTTAGTTCAAGCTATAAATAACAATAATAATGTAATATGAGATCATGCCTCTATTAACTGATTATTTAACTATAGTAATATTAATTTTTATTGTCCAGGTGTCGCAATAAAAAATAAATCAGACATTAATCTTAATCAATAGCGTAATTACTGTCAATAGAACACTGATTAAATAAATATTATAACCATAAGGCGGTAAAAAATATGATTTGATCTCCACGATTATGTTCTTGTATTATTTTAAGTGTTATTCAGTATAGACAAGAAATAGTATTTTAACTCGATACACACCCCTCTGATGACCCTTATGACCCTCTAAATTTGTTATAATGTTATTATGATCAATTTTTAATTATTATTATTATTACTATGTAGGTTAAAATATTGTGTGTTGGAAATAAATACAAATATATTGTGTTAAATTTGATATTAAAAAACTGTCCAAAATGTGATGTGCTTTACAAATTATTACAATACATATCATCTGTAGTGATAAATAGAAAACATATAAAAAATATATCAACTTCCTTATCAAATAACTTTAATATCCTAATTATAGAGTTTGTATTCTCTAAGGTTACGTTACATCATTTTTATTTATATTATACAAATTTACACAGCATAACGAACGCGTCATATGATAACTCATTAATTATTATTATTCAGATGCCTAAACGTCATGTTAACTTATTTACAATTAAGTTAAACTTAGACAGATCTTCCACACGTATTAGTATGGCCAGAATTCGCAATATTTAGTACTTAAATCGAAATCTAAGCGTTAAGGTTTCAAGTTTCTAATTCCGTTTGGCTACTATCATGAAGTACTTAGCAGATAAATTAAACTTACATAAAGCTTTATTAGGATACCAAGTCGTGAACGTGACGTCTTTTACAAATATACAAAATATGCATATTATTATGGACAGGTGCACCGGAGACGTAGACCGCAGGTAAATTTTGACACTAGGGTAGTGTGGGATATAGATGAGACATAGTAATATAAAATAGTATGTGAAAAACAGGTTTTTTTTTGTCTATATACACTAAGAGTACATTAGGCTTTAAAAAAGTACAAAATTTTAGCTCTTCTAGAACTGACTTCCGACACAAGTTTTAAAATAACTAAAATTCACAAATCATTTCAAACCGTTTAATTTAATAAGTACCATTTATAACATAGATTGTGCCATTTTTCAGGTGGCATTAAGCAGCGCAGTACCAACAAACATCTTGGAGCTGGACTTGACCCCTGAAGAGGCCCAGAAGTACCTCAACAGTCCACCCTTCACAGAGCCCAAGCTCGCTGGACGTACCGCTGTTCTACCTTTGGTAAGTTTCAGTTGGCTATAATACCTAGTATTTTTTCTATCAGGTGTCACTCCTTCTTGCTAGTTACTTCTAATAGGAAGTAGATCAAACAAATGAAGACTTAGTTTATATTTTCTATCTTAGTCCAATTATATTATTATAAATATCTCTTCTCTTATTTTCTTCAAACTTCTTTTGTTTTTGTTTAATGCAAAGTAATAATCAGGCGGACTCAGTGTGGAAAACATGTCTCTCCATCTCTTCTTGGATCTATCGTTCAAGTGACCTATTAAAATAGCTAATGTAGGGATTTTTGAATGACTTGTCAATTATTACAGATCAAATACAATGACGCAAGGTTTCGTTCAGCCGAGGCAGGACCAACACTAGGGCATTACTGGAAGAACGGACGTGAAATTGAGAACCCTGATGACTATGTTGAAGAGGTAATGCTTCCGCTTTGTCATATTAATTCAATATATTCCACTTATGTAGAAATCAAATCAAATAGTGATCTGTTAACTTGAAGTGGCAGTCATGATTGATGAAAAGTACTTAAAGCATCTAATTATGTAATTACATAGATATTTATTCGCGTTTATTTAAATTGTATTTGCACAAACCAAGAATATAACCGTAAATTAAATAACTTCAAAACAGCCTAATACGATATATGTATATAGTGATGACTTCATACAGTTAAAATTACCAAGCCTTAACGATTATAAAATACTATGTCGTAGAACTCGCGTTTCCTTAACACATTATTTCGCAGTTAATATACTAATTATGAGTCAGAGCTCATCCTATCAAGGCAAAGGCCAACCTGAGTCATGTTTTTGATTTAAAACCAATTATGGTTGTTATTTAAGTTTTTCTAATAACTTCGTAAGTTTGAAATTAAAGGTTTTGATAAAAGCGACATCTCTCGATCATGTTGGGTAATTTCAGCTAATATTATTTCAAAGCACTGGTCATTTCTAGATTAAATTTATAAGTAAAATGAGAGATAGAAATAAAACTGTTACTCTTTTGTATAAACAAAGTTGTATAGCCAGGTTTTTTAGACTTTTGAGGCAACTTTAAATTTCTTGCGTTAATGAGAATTAATTACAATAATAATATAAATATATATGATAAATAAATATACATGAACTTATCTCAAGATAATTAACGTTAATACCAGGTATACGACGCATCTCAATTCCATGGCCAAGACGGTTTAGGCGCATACGCATATGGCTACGAGACCCCTGAATCATCGAAAGTAGAGAACAAAGTAAGATCCGGTGACGTCTCCGGATCATACACATACCGCGCAGGGAACACCAACGAATTGATCAAGGTACGACGTCTGTCTAGATATAGAGCAGATACATTTCTGTGTCCTATTTATTCAAAACAGTGTTTTTAAAACCAGTCTGTGCCTACCAATAAATTGTCGAAAATGGCGAAGAGGACTTTTGTTTTAATTATTAAGTTAGATTCAATGCGGTAGTCCTGAACAAAATATTCTAGTTGTATCTTTAATTGATTTTAAAATTATTTCACCCAGGTCCGCTACTGGGCTGACAGCCAAGGCTTCCACCAAGAAGACAACATTCCCAAAGTGGTCTTGCAGCCTGTGCAGGAAGCTGAAGATGTTCGTCAAGCTCGTCTTGCCCACGAGAAGGCTTGGGAAGAAGCTGCTGCCGCCGCGAGGGTGCAACCCGACCCACAGTATGTCCACAGACTGCTACGGTATATGTGTTTGTAGTTAGAGCTTCGCTTTGGCTCTGGCTGGTGATGGTTTTTGTGGTGATAGTATAGAATACTTCAGAGATTTATATTGAAGGGCTTTATTGCTTATTTGAGCTTGTGACTATCTTCAGACTAGAAGTTCGTGTACCTTTACCCATATTTTTGAGTATTATTGTTACTTTTCGTTTATTTATTTTCTTGTATGTTTATTATACTAATATTATATATGTTTGTAAAAAGTAAATTCAGTAACTGCATGACCAATATCAAACATTCTTTCATTATTATCATAAGCTTCCATAGTAGTAAGTGTGAAGTTGGGACAGGCCTTTGAACCTCTATACAGAGTTCAAGCTTTTATTCAGAATAAACAAACTTAATTAAATGTTCGCTTTACCACTAAATTGCTATCTGATCAATTAAGCCATGTCAACAATAGTACTATTATGTCTTTTTTCATTATAACTTAAATACAATACGACAGAAAGAGAATATCTCATTTTAAATTAATACACAATTAAAAACAATGATGTCGTTACAGAGGTGAATACAACCCCCAAATCGACTACCAACCAGCCGCGTCAGAGCAGCAAGGCGCTTATGCTGCACCTAGCCAGGTAAACCAGGCCCGTGAAGCCAAGGCGTACTATGGATCACAGGGCTCATACCAGCCTGGTCAGGCCTACTCTACTCCTCTTCCTGAAAGGATCGAAGAACCGGAACCTACCGTATGTATTATTACAAAATTTCAACAGAGAATATGTATTTAAAGTGTGTAATTTCTGTTGAAATTTAAGTATTATTTTTCGATTTTTGTTGATATGGTTTCCTCGCCATGTGTGTTAAGAGTTATTGTGTATGTTTAATACATAATGGTACACACGATACAGGGTAACACATGACCTTTATTGTTGACAATCTCACGTTAAAAATAGAATAATAGACGACAAATATTAGTGAAATATCTAATACATAAAATTCTCGTGTCGCGGTGTTTGTAGTTAAACTCCTCCGAAACGGCTTGACAGATTCTCATGAAATTTTGTGTGCATATTGGGTATGTCTGAGAATCGGACAACATCTATATTCCATCCCCCAAAATGTTAAGGGCAGTCCCACCCCAAAAATTTATTTTTTATTTTGTATGTTTGTATACAGCATACAAAAATACATACAACCCTTAATTGTCACCCCTCTACGATTAACCCCTACTTTTTATTATTGTAGATAGTTAATTTTATTGAACTAAAAAAATGTTTCCTACAAATAATATACATGGCAAAACAACGTTTGCCGGGTCAGCTAGTAATGTTATATGATTTAACTTTACATATTGACAATGGTTATCATGTTCGTTCACCGGCAACACAATTATTTGTATATTCAAGCACAACTTTGCTTTAAAACACACGCAATATCCCATGAGATGTTGGTATTATAGAAGTCTTAATAAAATATACAAATATACTTTGAATATAAATATTATTGTAACAGGGCCCACCCCGTGGCTTCTTCTACGCCTTCAACTACCCAACATCAATCCTTGTTGCCAAGAAGGATCAAGGAGGTGCTCCAATCAACCCAGGATACCCAATTGATCAAGACTCAGTGTCTATCCAAGCTAAACATTATTAGATTTAATTATATTTTAGTGTTTCGTAATAGCTGGCTTCATTTGAAGCAGAAAAAATATGTTATTTCGTCGGTTAAATATAGATTTATTTTGTAGGTTATACCATAACATACTTTTAAAACTGGAAGTAAATAACTTGCCAGCTATTTATTGACACTCGAGTTCAATAAATATGACAATGTTGCCATTTTAGTGATGTAGGTTAAGTTAGGGCCAATTTCAGAATGTCGGCCATAGAAAGTCTATATTTTATAGTATATTTGTTTTGGCTTGGTTCGAAAGTATAACGCGTATTTTATATCTTTGTTATACTCTTGAACCCTGTCTCAGTTACCACGTGCCACTGTATCTATATGAATAAAGTTATATGCAATAAAAAATGCTATTTTATTACCCATGCATTATTGGTGCAGTTCGATTGCTGTCTCGATTTTCTCAGGAAAAATCCTAAGCCCTATGCTGTCGGTCTGTGATACACAGGTCGGACTAGATTTCAACTGCGTGTGCGCATATGCACTATAAAACTCAATAGGCCTAGTAAATTTACATCTCTATTTTAATTTGCATTTTTCTATTTCGTTCCTTCCTTTTAATTATATTTAAAATTTAAACTAGCTTCACCTGAGCAGTGTTGGCCTAGTGGTGCGCGCGAGATCCCTGAGCTCGTAGGTTCGATCCCTTTGGAAGGACAATGGACTTTCTATTAGTATCGTAACGAGTGTTTATCATTAAACACTCGGTTATTTTTCGGCTAATTTATTACTAAACTGACGTTTTACAATTATTGGCTACAAGTGTACGATGATTGCTAACATTTGGTTTGCGCTTCTAATTATTAACTAAAATATAAATATTGTTAGGTTACATAACTCGCGGAAAAGCGTATTTTATATAATATTGCATTTCACAATAGTTCCGTAATCTAAAATTCGTTTCGCCCGAGTACGTGTCTTGTGATCACTTTCTCAAATAAATCTAAATGGATTGCCGAATTTCACTTTAGAAATGCAGAATTCGTTAATATGCTTTTGAATCGAGATTTATTTTATTTGGTTATATGTATTTTATACTTTAATTGCTATTACTTGCAATATAGCAGAGTTATTGACACCACTGGCACAATTTTTCAATATTTCGATAGGGGAGCCAATGTTCGGCTTACTTTTGAGTTATTGCGCTCATAATAAAAAAGTTATGTACTCGAACGTACATTCTTATTGTTAAAAGTTGCTTCGCTTAACTTATTTATGTCTTGGACCCAACATGGTAGAGAAGGTCGTGAAGTTGTATATTTTAAAGAATATTTTTCTGTAAGTAGCAGTTTCAGAGCTATTTTTGAAAGTGACATGTCGCTAACGTGCCGACAAACAAATGACCAACGCACCTAGCGAGCCACTACGCAAGACACCTTTAGTCCGGCCACCGTAGTCACCTAGCCAGTAGCCAGGCGGCAAGCCTCTAGGCGCTAGGCGCTAAGCAAACCTCCTGCCTATGCGGACGTAGCCTTAGGCTAAAGTCGGAAACACACTTACGTGTCGTGGCGTGTCGTGACGCGCCAGAAGCATATTTTAGTATGATTAGACAGAACGTGTTGCGACACGACAAAACATGCAAATATGTGTCTAATCATATTAAATATATGAAACCAATCTGCTTCTGGCGCGTCACGCCACGCCACGACACGTAAGTGTGTTTCCGACTTTACTCTTGTTAAATTAAAAAGCCGAAAGAAAACAATCCGTGTATGAAAAAATCTAATATTTTTTGTTAATACATACTTGTATATACCCTCTATTTTATAATACACAAAATAGTAAAAATTAAAGATTTTTACATGGGCCAGGTCATGCCAACGTTTCCAACATTTCCACCTGCTTTTTATATGGCTAGAGTCTAGCCATAAAAACATCTTTCGCATGGATACCCATTTCGTTAGTTGCCGACCTGAAGGAGCAATACGCGTCTCATATATTGTTATGGCACATGATCTCCATCTGTTCTTATCAAACAATTCGTATTTCGCCAGTAAACAATTATATACTAAACGCGAAACCTCTTTGGTTATACAAAATTAACACACCATAATATTTAATTTACTATTATTAGTGCTTTATTTTGCTTCGTTATTCCAAATTTCTATTTTTGTAATTGAAGACTGTTTTGGAAGAACAACCAATGTCACATGGATCTAACTTAACAGGAAGTAAATAAAACTTAGTAATATGGAATAATGAAATAGTAACTACTTTTGATATTTATTTCATTTAAAGAACATAATAATAAATGATAGTATAAACCATAACAATTTTTGAGATCAGTTTCCTGCAAAAGTAGACCCGGGTCCTGGACATCATCATCATCATCATCGTGCAGAGAATCCATAGAGCAAAAAATTACAAATTCGAAAAATTTGGACACAGGTTGCTTTTCCAAAACAGTCTTCAATTACATTGTATGTTCGCGGAAGTTACCAAAGTGACTTCTTCAATACAAAGAGTCCCCTCGTGAGTTGTATGCGATGTTGCGGGCTACTCGATTGTGAGGAAGTTGCATGGATCTGGTTATCTCTGCGCCTTTGAAGTTCTCATGTAATTTTCACACGTGTATGTCCTTTTTACAACATATTTCCAAGTATTTGATTGTCACATGTGTGATGATTGAGATCATAAATAAATAACACTTAAACTTTAATAGGAAGATGCATAACTTGCGTATTATACGGCAGAAACATAACCGGATTAGCAGCATTCTGTTTCAACTGATTATTAACTATCATGCTATCACTCGGACGTTGGAAGGGAAGTCTTTGTCCGATTATAGAAATTATGCTTCCAATACCATTCGCTATTCCATTATACGCCCACGAAATGGAATCGGGAACGTTGACTTCTATCGGCAGCCAAGGGATGGCAGAAATAAAATCGCCGATGGAGAATCTACCGTTAGGTAATAGAACTAGTGCTCTGGGTGGCTGTGTTTCAGGTGCATCTATTACTACGGAGTTCAGTTCTTCGTCTTCTTTTCCGTAGTCCGCTTTGGTTTTGAATTCATTTGGTGGATCATTTGGTAGAAGTACCACTAATGGTTGTGGTTGGTTCCTGAAATGGTGTATCAGCTGTAGCGAAAGAAAATGTTTATGGTACTAAAAACAATGTTTACTTTATAGTTGTCGTTCAAAATTAACGAAATATTATATTTAGGTGTTTCACCTAAATCATTTCTTATGAACTTAAACAGACACAATAATATTTAAAATATTAAAAAGAAATAGCGCGGTTGAGGTCGTAGGTTCGATCCCCAGCTGTGCACCAATGGACTTTCTGTCCATGTGCGCATTTAGGTAACATTCGCTCGAACGGTGAAGAATCCAAAAAGTCGACGGGGTTGTGTCTGATGTCTGAGGCTGATAACTACTTGTCTATTAGATTGAGGCCTTGAACTAAAAAGTTTGTAGGGCCACTGATATTTATTTTTTTATTAAGAATAAATATAGTTTAATTTCAAATCTATAACTGTATTCTAAATTAACTAAAATTCAATGTTAAGTTGTAATCTCACGACTTTCGTTCATCGAATAACGATATACATATTAATTGATTGCATTAAAAATTTATCAACCTCAGTTAAACATTTTTAACGAGACTTTGAGGTAGTTAACAAAGAGTTCTTCGTGTGCGTGTTTACGTAGGATGACAAATAAGAACGGACCTAAAAATTACCTGACGAACCTGAATTAATGATTCATCAAAAAAAATATTTTTTAATAGATTCGTTTAAACGTTTATAAATAATTATCTATACACGATGACGATAATGGTTAATGTATACTTACATTAAAAATGGATTGATCCTTAACCGCTGCATCTCCATCAGCTGCATATCTGGCATCGGTTGCATGGGTGCGATGGGATACTGCATGGGCATTAGCATATGCAAAGGCGCAGATAGTATGCATGGTAAACACAACAGTATTATCAACATCTTGACTATTAACTAAACACAAGTTTTGTCTTAATTGATTTTTGATATCTTTATTATCACATAGTAAATTACGTTTCTAGATGTAAATAGATTTTTCGTTTTCGTTTGTTAATTTTTTCATATAGATCCGTTTTCCGTCACGGTTTAGTGAATACTCAGAATGTTGCGCGTACGCACATTGATATTATTATGCATAGGGTGATGTCAGGTGTCCTACTGACAGGATGTCACCTTGGTCCTACTTTCTTTTCATATGCAATTAATTATCTCTGTCCTGTATTACTTTAATCTTAATTGTCGACAAATCTCTCTTAATACTGTATGTTTGTAGGTAATGGTTGTGTGTACAAGCAAACACAGAAATGATTTCACGTCGTGAATTTATTAATTCATGTTTTTTCTTATTCTTTTGTAATTCTTAAGATTATCATTTAGTTTTTATTTTATATTACTAGTTATAGTCCGGTCAATTTAGACCTTTGAAGGTGCATAAAATGACAACCAGCTGAAACTCAGTAAAATTGTTGAAAGCATAATTATAAATAATATTTAAAAGTTCCCCAGGATTCCCGTGTATGGAATTTTTTTTTATCAATGTCAAAGGTCAAAAAAATGAGTTTTTCGCGATTTTCAGCAAAACGGTAAGTTTTATCATAAAGTAACTTCAACAAAAATTGTAGATCATAAAATTATCTATAAAAAATGTACCAATACTTTTTTCCTACGAGCCACCGTTTCTCAGATATTTTTAAGAAAACTTTTCGATTCGATTAAAAAAGTTATAAAAGTTTTTATCGTCATACTACGTTCCACGCCACCTATGAGGTAGTGTACTTACCGCGTTTTTTTAACGTGGTTTCCCCAGTAGGCCACTCCACGGGTCAGTTGTGATCCTGTTTCATGTGAAACTATTGCAAAATAACGGAAATTTACAAAGATTGGAAAAGCTAAAGCGATGTAAATTAAAAAAAAGTGGTGAAGTTCATTTGCCTGATTCGTAAGTTTCAAATTCTTCTTGTCCTTCTTCTTTAAATTGCGTCAATAGCAATGTATCGCATGACACTTCGGAATCAAACGAATCCTCCATTGTTTGTGATTCAACATTAGAGCACGACCGGCCTTGACCATTTGTGCATGCCAGAGAACAAAACTGTTCGACTTTTTTGCAACCATATTTAGCACTGCATCCCTTTTTGCAGTTGCAAAAAATTGTGTTCAGTTTTTTTTTGTAGTGTCTAGCTGATAACCAAGCCACACTTGAACTTGGTAATATACCCAAAAAAGATGTTGATGAGCAGCAACTGAGGTTGGAGGAAGACAAGCTAATTGAACTTGTTTTTTATTTTTAGTATTTTTTACGAAACATGCATATCGATGCTTATCTAAACAGGTAGTTTTTTTAGGAGCTCCGTACAGAGAGAGAAAAAAGCTGATGCCGTTGGTAATAATTTCTTATTGAGTTGAATTACTCTTTTTGAAAATTTCAGCACATTGAACTAAATCTTGTTTTTAAACATTTTGCTGTTTTACCCCTTCTGTAAAATGCAGATGTCGTATCACAGCCAGTTAAAATAGTACATAATTTTCATACTTTACAAAAGTAGGTAAACTTTTTGATGAATATATATCTGTTTGATGTTGTTATATATAGTTACACTGGCTTAAAAGTTAAGGGACTGGGTTTAATTTTACCTGATATTCCTATAGTTATAACTTATGTATATTTTATATTTTAAGTATAAGTTACAAAGACCGATAGAAAAATATTTTAACATATAATATATAACAACTCTAGAGATGTATATACGTGGCGTACTCATGCATATTATGACGATAACAACTTTTATAACTTTTTTAATCGTTATATCTCAGAAACCTACCATAGATTATAAAATTCTATAAAATCTATAAAACATGTATCTATGTAATATATAATATATACTTTTTCCCTACGAGCCACCATTTCTGAGATTTAATTTTATGATCTACAATTTTTGTTGAAGGTACTTTTATGATAACACTTACCGTTTTTCTGAAAATCGCGAATAAACTCATTTTTTTGACCTATGCCCTTAAATAAAAAAAAATCCATGCACGGGAATGATGGGGAACTTTTAAATGTATTATGTATAATTGTTAAATGTTGTGAACAATTTTACTGATTATCAGCTTATTGGGATTTTATGTACCTTCACTCTCATTTTTTAGTCTAGATTGACTGGATTATTAGTATTAAATTAAGTTTGGTTAAGCACTACTTTTTTCACTTTTTTATTTTTCCTAGTTTTTCCTTACTGTACAGCTTGCCAGTAGACTGTGAAATGTGTAGTTTAATTTATATGTATTAAGTGTCAGGAGTATGTGTAGTGTATGTATTAGCAAGCTGCACTAGATAACTAAATATATGAGAAGGTGAGACCTAAGAACCTATCAACCCTACGGATTCCTAAGCCCTGCAGATAAACCCTGACACATAAATAGTTAATATATAAATAAGTACGGGATGTCTGCACCAAGCGACCTAAGGTAACAGACTCTACGGGTAGGATCAAAGGTTCAAGATTATCTCAAAGCTATCGGACAGTATAACCAAGATAATTACGGGCTTGAAGGAGTCTTCGCCACTTTGAGAAGGAGCTAAAAAACACAGAGCAATATTCAAATCTCATTTATTGTTATAAAATGATATCTTAAATACTACTTACACCTATTCACATATACATAGTATTATTTTTGTGAGCTGTTGGTGCTAAAATTTTGAACAAGCTTACCTGGAAGAGATCGCTTGTTACCGATAAGGCTGCCTGTTGCATACATATTATTTCTTTTATTGTAACAAAGTTTTAATGGAAATACTAAACACATACATTGCATTAATTATATACTTTCTTGTTCACACTAATATCATTAAGAGGAGAAAATGTGTCTGTCTACTTATGGAAAATCTAATTAACTGAGTTTTCTTTCTTTCTTTATGGAATACTTTCATATAGTATGTAAATTAAACTTGAATATACGTATGATACTATATAAACTAAATAAGCACTGAAAAATATATGAATAATTCCCAATAGTGCATGGACAAGCTATATATGATAAATTCGTCGGAAATCAAACCCAGACTCTCTCCTCCAAAGTGGTATATTTTTAAACCGACTGACAAGAAACTAAAGGTGGTCAACGTCAATTCGACGTGTATTTTTTTTCTTTACTTATAATAAAGACCGATGAGGATACGACCTTTTTAGGTCTGGACCTCAGATTTTTGTATCTAGTTCAAGGTCAATCACAAAGGGAATTAGGTGATCAGCATCCTTCCAGTTCATCGACTTTTTGGGTCTGAGGCAAGCCGGTTTCCTAACGATGTTCTCCTTCACCGTTCGAGCGAATGTTCAATGCGCACATAGAAAGAAAGTCCATTGGTGCAAGCCGGGATCGAATCGAGGACCTCAAGGATTAGAATCACACACTGAAGTACTAGGCCAACACTGCTCTCGTTATATAGCTATTAATCACTTCGTAAAATGAAGGCTGAAACATGTTAATATTAAACTCGGTTAGTTGAGTGAAATGTAACGGTAACACTATCTTACAAATTATTAAGTGAATACTAGGGCACAAGGATTTATATGATTGTATAATTTGTGAAGGAAAATGTCAAGAGTAACTGTATTGAGCACAGTTAGCAACGGGCTAAGCACTCGGCTGTAGTTTTACAGCGTCTGATTAACGAGCCTCAATTATCTATGGTATTTAGTTCTAACTTCTAAGGTATTGGTTTTAAGGGAAGCGAAAGCGGTTTTGCATCATTCTGGAAGTTATACTTCTTTTGGTGCGTTAGGAAAAATGATGAGTGTAAATTTTTACGATGCGCGCGCACACCGTCACAAAAAACCGACACCCTGAAGTTAGCTATAGTCAACATTTTAGTTTTTGTTTGTTAGTTTCGTTTTTTCTACAAACGTAGAAGAAATTTTTTGAAAAGCTTCTTCTTGTTACGCCAAAGAAGTTTAACTTCTAACGCGTGTAGGTACATAAGTACACACACTTTTTTTTTTATTGATAAAGCTTGTCAACGCTCGGAACATTTATCAGTGGTAAAAGAACCACAATGTACAATTTTTAATGTGACAAGCACTTATAGCCAAACATATACATCTTCACACACTTCACATACACGAAGAGATAATACAAATATTAAACAAAACAATTAAAATCACAAAAACTAAGGGGCGCAATTATGGATATCCCTAGCCTAGCTCGTTTATCCGAATGCTCAATCTGGACATCGGTAAGCTTTGACCAAAACGCGTTCTTCGGAAAGGAGGGACAAATGGAATGATGGGATGCCTGTTTTGCTCAATGCCCAAATTATGTTTTGTCAATTATGTAGTGTATTAACATTTACGTGAAATTAAGGTAAACAGTAAAAAAAATAAAGTACTGTAAGATTTTTTGTGTATTTTTTTGTTATTAATATTTATTATTTTATGTTTTCGGAAAATTAATCTGCTTGTTATAAAGTGGAAAATAAAAAAAATTGGCCTTCAAAATGTTGTTGAAAGATCAGACGATGTGGTAAGGTTTGCCTTTAGAGAAAAATACTAAGGAAGTTTCATTCCTTGAATTAAACAATACAGAGATTGTAGGTTATAATATACCATAGTTGGTTGGTGCCCCTTTGTAATAAGTGTCTTTCTAACAGGTTTATAAATATTATATAAAATATGTGAGGTATAAGGAACGCCAAATCGCTGCCACTATGGATACAACCTTATCGCCAATTTGTAGACATCGAGGCAACTATGTTAATAGTAATGTTTAAAGTTGTTAACAATAATGTGTCTTCAGTACTGCTTTTGGCCTCAATTTTAGTAAAATACAAATTACTAAATTGGCATATTTTATATGACTTAAAGACTTTTTAGTTTTATGACAATGGCTTATTAAATTACGATTTCCAAAAGAAATAATTGTCTGTTAAACGAACGATGAAAAAA